TCGCGGTCAACCAAATCCTGTCGAGAACGAGGTTAGGCTTAACCAGTCGTAATCGTTACACTCACGACCGAGCCCCCCGGTGTAGCGCCCAGCTCCTCAAGTGAACTAGACTGGGACCAGCTCCTGCAGTCGCTGGACGAGGGCTCCAGCCAGCGCAAGCGTAACCGGCCCCTCGTTTTTGACACAAGTACGTTTGAGTTTGGGGACGGCAGCAGCCGATTCTTGTGGGGGGAGCAGCTTCTGGGTGCGCCATACCGGGAGGCGGCTGAGACCAATCTCCAGCAGCTGTTGGGTGCGCCTGGTGAGGGGGAGGATCCTTTTGCCGCTGATAGTGCGGAAAGCGCTTTCCCCACGCCAAGTCTGAATCTCAGCAGCCCAGAGCTGTTAGCTGACCTTGGGCCGTCCGCTGAGGTGGCCAGTTTTGATCGTACTCTTGTCGGATCCACTGTACCCTTCCCCGCCCGCAACTGTGGGCCTCCAACCGTCGACCTCGTTCAATGAGCGCGATTCAGAGTCAGCCCCCCAATCCTCCCCGACTATCCCCCCCCCCCGACTCCCTAAACCGCCGGAGGCGTCACGCTCTCACAACACAACGCCCCGATCAATGACCAATGAGGAGATCTATAATGCATATGCCGCAAGCTGGGCGGGAGTTAGCAATCAGGGGAGCGGGAGTCTGGGGCAGCCAACAACTAGACCTGTGGAGAACCTCGAGACGGCGGCGAGCAACGCTGGCAAGCGGCCGACGAATGCAACCAAAGCGCAGGCGGCCCGGGTCATCCGGGAACTGTTGATCGCTCAGGGGCCAAGAAGCAGGCGGTTCCCCTCGAGTGGGGGCAGCTGCAGTCGCTGGAAGGGGCAATCGGCCAATTGACTGCACAAGCGGCCAACCCACCCGCTCGAGGCACCCAATCATTGGGACCCGGATGCACTGGGAGTAAGTCACTGGCTCAAAATGCTGGTTTTCTCTAGGACTACAAAATACTTCCCACCTCTCGTTGGCGCCCAGCGCGGATCAAGCTGTGCCAAGAAAGACGGGCGGAGCCCAAGGTGCTGATAAGGGACTGGCGGCCGGGGCGCTATATGTAATTGCGGATAGCCCTAGCAACCCCGGTGTTCTGCAGACTGGGGCTCACACGGAGTTGGCGTCCCTTGAAGGGCTGGTGAGACAAGAGGGGGCAGCCGCCGCATCGAGTTGGGGGGCGGTCGATCCCTTGCGTTCCACGGGGCAGGTGGGCTCGAGTTTGCAGAGGGGGGTTGCGGAGCAGGTTCAGGAGTCCCCCCTGATGCGGGCCGTAGATGTGGCGGCTTGCCAGGTGGCGCTTGCGTGCCCCGTCGATATCGACGCCGATCTGCTTCCATATGATCCCTGGCAAAGACTGGGGCAGGTCAGACCGGCGCCGTCGGCTGCTGTCGAATGGGAGGGGCTGAGCCCTCCGGTGTCATTTTGGATTTCGGGCCGGGATGACGTGGAGACTTTCGATTGGCTGCTGCAAGGGGAGGCCGTCGGAGAGGGGCTCGGAAGCCAGCAGTCTCCAGGTGCGCACATTCTCAATGCCTATCCTCTATCTTATCAGAAGTCTGGTCGCTCGGTTTTATCTTTGGTTTGTCCAAGCTGAGGCAAATGTACGGCTGGGTCACATGCACATCATCAGGCATGACCCACTCTAATGTCACCTTCCTTCAACCCAGAAACAGGGGACACGAGTCTTTTCTGCATCGCTGTCCGTGTATGATCAGCGCTCGGCAAAGGCTTACTGTTGTCGAACTCTGGCGCGGGCCCAATCTTGCGGGCCAGATAGTGGACGCAACGAATAGCGTCCTTTGGCGGCCTCCGAGTCCCTCAACTGCGGGGTGACGCTTGCTCTAGACCCATCGACCCAAACCTGCTTTACCGGACCAGCACTAGATTTGCAGACAAAGACTTGGTTGGCGGGTTGGGGCTGTAATCGTTTCTGATAAAGTTCGACACTCAGTGGCGCGGTCCTTCGACGAACTTTCTCCTTGAAAGGCTCAGCCACTTGCTTGATTTCATCCCAACTCTTGCAGCGAGATCGCGTCGCTAGCTGGGTGGTCTGAAACCGGAGTCTCTCGAACGGGTGCTCTTACTGAACTGCACAGTCCACCCGCCTCCAATAAGTGGCTGTACAGGTCGATCAGTAAAGGTATAGTGCTACGGAGTTCGTCTTCAAATCTGGGAACTCGTTCATCTTGAAAACGAAATGTTGCCGGCCGGCACGAGCTCGGTCAATAGTTTTCGAACAGCCCTCTTTCCTGCAATGTGAAGCGCAAACGCTTTACCAGTCTCTCCAAAACCTACCAACCTTGTTAATTCATCTAAAACCCTGCAAGATCGACACCTGTCAATCCTTCCGCAGGCTCCGAGCACTCCCCCGCCCCCTCTGCGCTGCACCACTTGTGGGCCCAAATGGAGCCGCCCCAGCTCCGCGAGGAGCGCTTCCGGAGCTTTCGGACGGCGTACAAAGAAGAGGTCCGCAGGCTGCGCATCTGGGCGGCGACCTTCGTGGGCGAGCCACTGCTGCCCGTGGTCGCCGAGCTGCACTTCGTCTCGTGCAACGTGCTGCCGAACCTGGGGGACCGCCACGCGCGGTGAGTCGCGGGGGATCTTTTCAGAAGTCCAGAGCTGTGACCAAAAAAACTGTTTTGTCGGTATGCATGCCGGACCCCTTATGCGCTGTGCTGAAATACTTTGGACAAGTAGCCAGGCTTTGGATACAGAGCCACCATGTTCAGGACCATTTCTGGAGGTATGATCGTGCCTCGTTGCTTCTGGCCGCCAGTTCGGAAGCCCGGACTACGGGGCAGTCATGGTCGATACGTAATGGTCACACAGATGACCGACCCTTTCGTGGCCTTGCGGCAGGATTGCAAGCTCTAAGCCCACCTTTGGTTTCTAAGACTGGTGCGGCCAATTTCGGACGATTTTTGATTCCGGACGGGCAAACCCGAAATCTAATTTCGGACTATCTGAACCAGTCTGCGGCTGCATACGCGCGTGTGTAACGCTGTCGCGCGCGGCTCGTCTCCTAATGGTACTTTGAAACGCGACGTCGCGAACCAACGCGCACGAGCAGCCGCAGACTGGGTTAACTGAGTCCGAAGTGAGATTTCGGGTTTGCCTGTCCCGAATTAAAATCGTCCGAAAGTGGGCGCACCAGTCTTAGCTCCTATCCGTGCGTCAAATTTGCAGCAGTAGGGGTGACAGCGCTGACGTCATCACCTTCCAGGACCACACCATGACGTCACTCGCTCCCCTTTTCCTGCGCAGCATGATGATGACCAAGGGCGGCCTCTGGAGTGCATTCGTAGCGCACACCCTCGCGGTCGCGGATCCAGCTGACGTGTACGTGGCGCGCCGGGACGGCGCAAAGGCGTTCTACGGCACGAGCTCCAGACTGATGTCACTCAGCATGCAGCACAAGTGCTTGAACATGATTTTCTTGGCAGGCGATCTCAAGGTAAACTCCTCAGCTCTTAGGTTAAGCTTCCTTCGCTGGAAGGTGGTTTCTCAGCGTGGTTTTTGTGCATCTAGGGTTGGTTTTCTCCAGCGCAACTCTCGGCTTTTGGTTTGTTACGTATTGAATCTACTGATACGACGGTCAGGATCTGAAAATGCGACTTTTGACTGTATCGACTAGATCTGAGCCGCTTTCAAAACCGTTGAAGACGAATCATGCCTGGGCAATTAATTGGAAACGTACTGCCCTTCAAGTCGTTTGCTCCATACGGAAACACCTCGGACCGGGCAGTGTTCACCAGTTTGCTCGAGACCTACAGGACGCTCTTCGTTCATGCCTGGTCAGAAATTCTTTGCTCCTTCTGTCGATGCAGGACGAGTCATCGTACGGCCCAGAGATCTTCCGATTGTACGGCGCTCTCCACAAGTCGGTCGGCCTAACCCGGGCCCCCCCGCCGCCCGGTTTCGCCTGCCAGCAGATCACCTTCCCGGAGCTAACTGACCCCAAACCCGAAATTGATACAACAGACGACGCCCCAATTGAGCTGGTTCAGTTCGAAGAGGATCGGAGCGTGCTGCCGCGCCTTCCGCCCCTCGGGGGATCCCCCCGGCCGCCTTCCAACTGGATCAACCGGCAACGGCTGCTGAGTACCGGGAAGGGGTTGAGGGAGGCAGGGGAACCGGCGCGGGAGTGCCTCCGGCGGCTCTTTGAGCGGGCCACCGCGAGCCACGTCAGCAAGTTCGACACGATGGCCGGGGGGACTCTGCCCACTTTAGAGGGGTAAGTTCACCGGAGTTCTGAACGGCCCGCCGTTTCCATCTTCGTTAGGCCCGCATTCTAGACTATTCGTCGCTGGGTCTATCCTCAATTTGGTCTGAATGCGGCTCGTCTTCTCTCGTTTCTCCGGGCCCTGCAACTTTTGCTTCCCCTCCTCTAGCGGCAACGTCCTTTCCGTCCTTCTTCGTCTCCCTTCGCTCCTTGCATTTGTTTGTGCTTGTTCCAATCGCTTCTTGCCCCTTCTTTTAGTGCATATCCAACAGTATCGAAGGAGTCAAGGACAACAACGGTCAAATTCTTGAGACAGAAAGTCCCTTCCGTCAATGTTATGGAGCTAGTGTCGGCTAGCCGTAATGACATCAGCCCAGATCTACACAAACCGAGGACGGAAGATCAGCACAGTAGAAGCAGATTACTGTGTCGTCATCTGACGTGGCGTCCGTCATCACTGCCAGGTATCTAGCGTCAGAGCGCCACGCGTCGGGGACGCTCTTGAGCCTCGGCATGGCGTTCTGCGCCATCGGACAAGGCCTTGCGGACGCCGGACGCTGGGAGCCGTCGCCGGACGAGGTGGAGCAGCTGTTCGAGGAGACGGCGAAAGCGTTCGAACTCGCGGGGAACGTTGTCCAGATCCTGAGCGACCTGCGGTGAGTTCCAAAAAGAAACAAGGAATTAAAAAATAAAAGAACAAACGCTCCTTTGGCGGAGGCCTTTGCAGACGCAGTACAGTGGCCTCAACAGAGGCATGCAGCATGTTCGAGGAGACGGCGAAAGTGTTCGAACTCGCGGGGAAAGTCGTCCAGATCTTGAGCGACCTGCGGTGAGGTGCAAGCCGCGAAGCGCCGCGTAGGCAGAAGCCTTGCAAAAAGGGGACGATGCTCTCGTTAGGACCCGATAATGTCGGATTCTTATGGATTCTTTTAGATTCTTCCCATCAGATCCTAGCGACTCTAGTGAAAGCCTGACCCAATGTATTTTGGAACCGTGCACTCGCTTCTCAGTCGGAGAATAAGTGGTGATACCTTACTCTCTATCTTTCAATGCTGGCCATGCTTGAACGGACCTGAATCGTCGGAGTCAAATTATCTTACTGAATCCATCTGAATCGAGGTTGTCCTGTTTGGCTGTTTGCAGGACGTATCAGGCCGATCTGGTGCAACTTCGGCTGAATGCAGTGGCCATCCAGATGCGGGAAGCGCACTGCAGCCAGAAAGAAGCATTTGGTTTCTTGCTCGCCAAAGCCGCAAGTGATATCGAGCTATTGGGCGCCGAAACCAAAGCCCACGCAGCCAAGGGTCCATTTGCGCGCGCGTGTTGGAGGTTGCCTTTCGAAGTTTGCCGCACCAGCGTGTCTTTCTTTAGCATACTGGGCTCGAAAGACCGGGCAATGGAGTTGTTCGAAATGGGTAAGGTGCTGAATAAATAGTTTGTGGAATGACTCTAGTCTTAGCACAGTCTTTGACTATAGTACAGTCTTCCTGCTCCTGATGCGTAGGATGCAAGGAAGGCCCCAATTAGTAAGTTTGCAGATTGCGATCAATTTGCTAGGTCCAAAATCTGCTCAGTCAACGTACGCAATCGGCTCTCAGTGCCCAAGTACAAAACTGCACAGTACAACTTAGAGTAGCTTAGTTGCTATCTGCTCACTGAGTAAAATCCACAGAAAACATTACTAGTAATACATAGTGTGTAATCCAATCTTTTCGTTTTAATATAGTACAGAAACGTGGTAGGTTATCAAACCTACTGTAGTCGGACAGTCATGTGTAACTTTAGCATAAAAGTCAAAAGGCCAAACCTTCATTGGGAAGTTGATTCTAATCAAAGGCAAGTATGGTCGATTTTTCGAGTCGCCAAACGATGCAGGTACGAAGTGTTAGCGGCTTAAGGGCTGTACCTTGATGAGGTGCAATCCGACTTGATTGTTAGGTTGCATGTTTGGCAAACGTGGAACGGCCCACGGCTATTTCAAGAACTAGCTAGCTGTATGTTGATGCGCATGAATTCAGAAAGCTTATTTTCACATTACCGTACGAATGCCAATTCGTTAAATACGGCCCGCCCAATGCATTTAGTCAGATTTACGATGCAGGCTTGCTGCTAGCTAGCTACGTTCTTGGACCCTTCTAAAATTGCATGTAGAATCCGATTTTCATCCTTGCACGGCAGTGGCACTATAGGGGCCGCGGCCATGCAGCGTTCAACGGTCATTCGGGGAACGATCTATTCGGGATTCAAGTTTGCAGTCTGTCGCATGCAACAGACTGTGACTGCACTGCACGAAACCTTTACCATGCGGTGCATGGGAAGCTGCCGCATGCGCGTCGTGTGTTGTGAAACCGGCTGGCCCGCCGGCCCCTATAGCTGATCATGCAGTTCGTTCATGCCACATCACAATCTTCGAGAAAACCATGAACCTAGGTTCCAGCTCGTGCTTCGTAAATGATATGGCTGGGAAGCAGAACCATGACGTTCACATAGGTATTTTCGAGGCGTGCGCACACGGCATGCACATGCGTCACAGAGAAACGTCTTTAGAAAGACATGCAATATACGGTATGGTAGTGGTATGTGCTGGTAGGATATCATGTCAGTCAACAATGTGTTGATTGAACGGTCGGCAGGTCTTGGAAATCTCTAGCTAACTTGAAACTACAAGGGATCCAATACAATGATCGAAATGTCGGTGAAGGACCTTGTCAAGCGTCCTCAATGTTTTTCCACATGGTCTGGTGCGCCACCTGCACCAGCCCCTAGAACCGTTCTTCTTCTTGGCCTCCTTCAGCAGGGGCTTAAAGTTTCACCAAGCACCACTCCGCCGCCTCCGGCAACCGCAGCACGGCCTGACCCAGCAGGTCCGGCCCACGTTACCGCAGCTTGGCCCCAGGCTGGGAGATAATTACGCGCAAATTTCAGAATTGCGAACAGAAAGGCGGCCTACGGCCCTACCGAGGCTGCGTCGCGCAGCAGGGTAACGAGTCTCTTCCAACTTCGAACGGTTCAAGCATGGGAGATGTTTACCTTTCTCAGTGAGCCAATTATGAGCAAACCTACTGACTAGTCTTGTACGCAGCAATCAGCACCACAGCACAGCAATAAAACGCCCTCCTACCCCAAACAAGAAGACGAGGCATCTTAAGCTGACGCTGATACGTATATATTATACTATTCTCAAAATGAAGAGTGATGGAACTTTCGACAAATCGACAGAAACCTTACATCGAAACAGTATCGATTTTGAGATTACTGACCCAATTCTTTAAGGATACACGCTGCAATCCCACGAATTTGGCAGAGTGTCTACTCTTGCGACTCCCCAGACCCTCACCTTGCGGCCCTCCGGCAGGCGTTCCACCTCCATGACGTCATCGTGTCCTTGCCGCTGCGCTTTGATGACGTCCTCAACCTTCGTGCAGGTAAGTGTTCATCTTCGCACCAAAAATACAGCGCCTTCTACTGCCATAGGAGCCCAAGGCCCGAGTACGGATCGTTTGCGACTTTGATGGCGCTATGGCCGCAGCTCGTTTGCAGCCTCGGCCAGAGCGGCAGACTCATCCACCGGTTGGCATTGGAGAGTGAGCACCGCGTGCTGCGCCGCTTCTTCGCAAGTGCCTCCGCTTTGAGGACTCTGACGAGAACGAGGGGGTCAGCGTGAGATAGGTGCGGGCGATGTCGGATGCTTGCGGTCTGGGACGGGCACCGTTCACAAGTGATGTCAGGTGCGTAAACCACGCTCCCATTGAATACGTTTTCGTCATTTCGATGCCATTCTGTTCCTAGATGTCGAAGAGCGGCAAGATCCAAAGTTCGATCCCCAAACGAGAATGCGCGCTGCCAAAAGACTGCCGCCTCACTGAGCAGAACGACGTGAATTGCCCGGCCAAAATCACTTTCGACCACTGCCCGTCCGGAGTCGTAGGCATCTGGAAAAAGGCATACCAATCTAACTCTAGCAAGAGCACCAGAACTGAAGATGGTTCTGGACAAGAGACACGGTTTTCAAGGGATTGGCGTGATGGTATAGCTGGTAAGACCCTCTCAAACATGCACGTAGTAGAAAAGGAGATGCCTGGGAAGCAGAGAGTAGGCATTTAATGCTATGACCAACCGGGGCTTGCCGAGAGCTTCCTGTGAGCTTTAAAAGGGGCAGGGCGGTAGCGCACAGCAAAGATTGATGCAAAGTGCACCTTGAAACAAGCGACGGCAAGAAAGCTGTCCACTCCTGCACAAAAAACTTTGATGGTATTCTCTGGCAATCAAAGCAAGGAAGCTTTTGAGAGTATTTGGAGTGTGTTCAAAACCTTCATCTGCCCTGTACTTGTCTCTGGCCCAGTCGAATCTTCAGTAAGAGGCTAAAAAGCACAAGGGTTGAGCAATTGGACTGCCTTTCTAGTCTAGCAATCGTCCCCCTGGCTTACAACAATGAGAACCAGCAACGATGATGTCCAGACAGCAGCAATGACAATCAAGGCCGACTTGTACCGTCTGTTGAACTCGTAAGTGGTTCCCATTCTCCATGGTCTTTTCTACTCTTCCCGCAACGGTACTTAATGCGGTGCTTCCTATAAGGGATGCCCATGGCGTCCCTTATTCCTTCGACGCCCATCCCTAGCACCACATCTTACAGTCGCATCTGCTTTGCTTATTACTCAGGCAGACCAAAACCACAATTAATCTACACGATCCGCCTTGATTCTTACCAGAACACATGTGCGTCCATCATCCTTCCTTCTCCCCCAGCTCCGCCTCCTTCTCTCCCCGCAGCAGCTCAAGCACTTCCGGTACCCCCATCGCATCCTTTATGGCATAGTCTAGATAAGCGTCAAGGTTAGCAATAACCGAAGGCATCTGCTCCAACAGGCGCCCCGTTCTAGTTACCGTCTCCCCCTTGGCCGCCAGCTCCTGAGGCAGTTTCGCGATGACCTCGCTCGCGCCTGACTTGCTGAGGTCCTGCGCCAGCGTGGAAGCATTCTCAATGCACTCCTCAGTCTGTCTGCTAACATACTTTTTGAGCGCGCCAGCCGGGTCGCTAGAAGCGGAGCTGGAAGGCCTGCCGCTGGGCAGTGTTTGGGACCGCATCTTTGCTTGTTGGGCCAAGTCTCGGTTGCTGACAGCGCACAGAATAACTTGACATGTGACTCCTTGGCTGCGTCCTTAAGTTGAAGGAGAGGTCAACATTCTTTCCTGCTTCTGCACTCGACTTTGAAGTTTGAGCTAGCCGCCCTCTTGCAGGCTCGTGCAAGCTGGGCCTCAAGCCTAAGCCTATTGAGGCCGACTGCACTTTCTTCACAATCGCTTGAAATTAGGGTAGAATCATTTTGTAAGTGGTACCCCCCCATAATGGGGGTGGGGGGCCCTGGACCGAGATGCAGAACCAGGGTCGGAGGAGGGGGGGGACCCAGCGCAGTTTTTGAGAGTGAAGGTCCCTGGGGGGTACCACCTAGGACCCCAAGAGGCCAGGACCTTCAGCTTTTCTTCAGTACCCATTTAGCCTCTTATAAACAGACTTTGCTCACATATCTTGATCATATTTGTACGAAGTTTGCCCCAAAATGGGCCGAATCTTCTGAAAAGCGGCCCTGCGGGGCTCTACAGCGTGCACGCACATAGCGACAATATGCGGTTTTTTCAAAAAAGCCCTATCAAAGCCCTTACAAAAACTTGCGTTCACTTTTGGCCGGACCCCCGCCTTATGCCGCCGGGTGGGAGGGGGGGGGGGGCTTGGGACCCCTCGGCGAAGCCGAGGCCCCCCCGGGCCTTGGGAAAATACCCCCATGAAAAATGGTCGATAGAATTATGGGGGGGTACCAGTTACAAAATGACGGTACCCTTATGTGAATTGATGTTTGCAAGATCCCGACAGGCAGTGTCTACCGTTACCGGCCCTCTTGCCTGGCAATGCTTTATGAATGTTCTCTGTACTCCATAACCGGCAGAAAAGGCGTCTATTGGTACCGGTTTTACTGCATTCCATACGGATCTTCCGGTCTAATATGCACACATTTAATACCTAATATAATTTATAGGAGCTAGAGCAAGCTGGCATTGCATTTGAAAGCTACTTCCTGCAGAGGCCCATCCTCTCTGTTGTCAAAGCGCTGTTCTTTCTAATTCTTGCAGCTAGAAAGAAGAGTAGCTCTAAAGCTTGTCAGTTTCGATGCGCTGACAATGCAGTATTCGAAGCACGTGTCAGAAGGGCGGACAGCCTTTGCTCCTGGGGCCAGCTCCCAAGCACCTAAGAAGGACGAGAAAACTGCTGATGCAAGGAGCAAGGAACCAGAGATAGTTGTGCTCAACACCGCAGCCAATGTGGTAAGCTGCTCTCATTCTCGCTTCGTCGGCTCTTTTCATCATATGTCATCCAGGGATTCATCAACGGGCTGGACTCGTTCAGCTTTTGTATGAATTGCAGAGACTTGCTGCTTTTTGAAGCCTGGCATGCTTCTCGAACATGAGCCCCGTGGATATTGCACTTCATGCCCTCTGTTCGTGACCACACAAAGATTTTGCGCGCTTACTGAGTTTCAAACTTCCAAGTGGCGAACTCTAGAAAGCTTCAATATGCTGCTTTCCTTGCAACCAGATACTACAAACTCTACCAGAATGTTAGTTGGCAGCATCTGTCGTGTCTGCGCTGAGTCCCGTTGTATTGTACAGGTTAAGGGCTGGTTAGAAGCAGAGGGAGGGTCGGACGCCGAGGAAGACGCCCTGCCCGAACCAGAACTGCGGCCCCCAAGGTTTGGGCACCTGATCAGCAAAACACAAGCATCCTTAATGTGCCCATGATTTTGAACTTTAGAGCTGGGGCCCCTAAGCTTGCTCCACTCAGACTCTCCATTGTCGCGCACCGGAGTCTGTCCACTTCTCTCCTTAATTGCCTGCCTTGATTACCCATGAGCTGGGGGTCAGAAAAGCTGACTGCTTGAATTCAATGCCATTGTTTGCAGGCACTGTGTACAGTCCCTGTTGGCATGTGGAACCTCGCGCCATTTTTTCCTCCGCCCTTCGTTCTGTTCTGTCCATATTGCTGCATAATATGCTCCCAATCTCGAATCTTCTCACATGACAACAAAAACAATTGCTTGTCAGAAAGAGTCCCTTTGTTTGAGCCCTCTTTTGACGGCCCAGATACAAGGTAATTGATCCTCGTTTAGATATGAGTCTGTTAAGCAGATAAATGCCAAATGTTAGCCAGAAGAAGGTTGTCTTCTCCTCGGTGGAAGAAGACAGTCTCAGACTGCTGGATCGGGAGTTGCTGGGACTGGCTCCTCTGGTAAAAAAATGGAAAATTCGCGAAACAGGTTGAGAATGCTTTGCAGTACGCGGCATGGGCTTCCACTTTCTAGTCAGCAGACACTTACGGGAAAAACTTTTGCTGTAAAGCTTTGGAAAGCAGTGGTCATGTGACCGGGCTGTTTGACAACCCGAGCAGTCGCAAAATTTCACCACAAAGTTTTGAAGCAAAAGGCCTTCAGTACACTCAAGAAGTTGACCCTCACTTGATCGTGGAAGCTTGTCTTGGATTGTTCTCTTTTGAAAAGCCTATTCCCTCTCTTGTAAAGTACCCTCATCTATTTCTCGAGTCCGCCCTAGATGATCAACTCAATCGTTCTTGGAGTAGATATGTGCTCAATCGACGCTGACTTTCTGCAGGCTTGGTCTTGGAGCAAAGTACCTTCCCCACGCCAAAGTGTCCAGCAACATGGGTACGTTAGAGAAACGCCTGAGGGCGAAGATAGACACGTCAGCAAGGCAAGGCTCGGGAGAAGATGCAGAAGCCGATGCGGCATCCAGGAAGAGAAAAGCGGAGGGCAAAGCGAGAGATGGCTCAAATGGTGCCAACGTTGTTGAAAAGATAGGTGATACGGATACTGACGAAGACGAGGAAGAGGGACGAGGAGGTCGAGGCGGCGCCTTCCAAAAGAAACAGAGGGGCTTGCCTGCTTTTGAGGTAATGCAGTCGAAAAAGGCCAAAAAGAAGAAGAAAAAGAAGCGAGAGGAGGTTGGCTGATAGAGTACGGTATTAACCGGAGGTCGTTGTCGTGGTATTTCTTTGCAACCTGCTCACTTTCGTCCTAACCTTTGTTCGGTCGGATGTGCACATGCAAGCGGCTTTTGTGCATCACTTGTCAGCACTCGTTTGAAGAACCTAGGCTACACACAAATTGAATGTCGGAACGCGATAGAACACAACCTAGCTTAAGTTATAACAATTATAAGAGTGAATAGCACGACTCGTACTAGATAAGGCAGCTAGCCTGGCACCGTCCGGGCCGGCAACAGCTAGCTAGATGATCAAAGTCGCTTGCATTGATCGTTGTGTTAAAACCGCGTCAGCCTGAGTTCCGGCATGCACGTGACCTCAATGCAATGATCCGCATGTGACTTAAAGCATTTCGATCCATACTAATGCGCATGCATGGTTGGCCTGGCAGCGGCGGCGGCCATGCTCAGCCGGCCCACATGCAAACCCACCAACTATGTGCAAGCATGGGCCCCGACTCGATCTAGCCCGGCCATGGCTAGACTAAGATTCATTCAAATCCAACAGGAACGGCTGAGCTTCATGCATGTACAGAGTCGTGACACAAGCTTGCGCCACGGTCCAAACAATCGAGTGATGAAACCAATCTGCCAATCTAGCGCTTCAAGATGCGAATATCCGCTGCCCGGATAGGATGGATACCAAATCTGTCTGCATGTGAGTGTCCGGCGATTGCGCCACACCGTCAAGACAAGTGGGCTGAAACTCTAGAAACCATGCCGCAGGCCCGCTGCTGCAGAGCCGTGCTTGGTTGCGCAAGCCTGGAGCTTATCGATGTGTGCACGAAAAATACAACGATAAGCCTCAGCGCCCTCACCAACTGCCACCGTGCACTTGGCATACCGTCCTTAGGAAGTGGCTAGGAGGAAATGGCACTCCAAAGAACGGATGGTTGGCGTGTCGTCCGCTGAAAGTTTACTAATGACAAAGTGAAGACCTGCCAGACGCCTACCCTTTGATTTGTACCAATTCTTCACAACATTTGATCAAAGATGGTCATATAACTTCCTCTGCGAGCCAAAGACAGCATTTTTTGCACCTGGGATATGCAGACAAGCTCCGAGGATTCGGCCAACTTCAAATCTTCGACTCTGATTGTCGAGACGAACGAGATGCGCCTCCTTCACTAACGCAAAGAGCAGCTCAATGCTCCAGGATAGAAAGTATACGTCTCGCCGAAATCAAGGCATCCTCAATGAGGTCACGAACCAAACTGTACAGTCATCTCAACCTAGCCTACCCTCCAAGCGGCTCCGTGGCCTTCCACGATCCTCATAGCTGCAAAAAAGCCAAAATTGTCTCAATTCGAGAAGCTCGTAACTTAGCGATAGCAGTTTTGAGCGAGTTACAGGGAGGGGGTGCAAGTTGCAACAAAAATTCTGCAGGAGCTGGACAGATGGAGGCAAGTGACTGGTAGCAAAGTAATATCACTCAGATGCGGAAGAATTGTTGTGACTTCGGATCTAGCAAGAAGCCCAGCCCCGTTCATCCACGAGGCTGTCACTTCTCACCACAGGCTCTATCCAAAGGAAATGGTTTCTGGCTTTTCTATCATAAGCGCTTAACAGCCCCCTCAAGACTAACCCAAATAAGCTGTTCAACTGACAAAGCAGTGGCTACAGACAAGCTTAGCTGGCTTGGCTCCCACCAAGCGAGTCAACACGCATCTTCTGGGCATCTCCTCAGATTCGTGGAAATGTCTGATAAGTCTTGAAACAATCCTTTCAAAGGCGCGACCAAGATAATGAAACAACTCAGCGAGAGGAAATCAAGGACTACTGGACCTCTGCCCGACTCACTCTCTTCGGGGGGGCTGCTTGAGGGACCGCAGCGCAGAGTTGCTGAAGGCCCAGCCAACGCGGATGGTCTGGGTGAGCATTTCCGCCCCATCTAGTTCTGCGATCGCCTTGGCTGCCTCCGCCTTCGTTTCGTACTCGATCAAAGCGTAACCCTGCACAGACCAAACCGAGAAACGCGTTATCCACGATGACCAAACGCTATTTTGATTCAAACCAACCAGCGTGGCCTGGTCGCAGGGCGCCCAAACAACCAGAAAATACTCCTTCGACGATATCCTTGCCTGGTGGGGTTAGAATCAGACCGTTTAGTCTTTGGTCTCCAATCTCTTAGTTTCTCTGGTCTCAGATGTCTCTTTTTCTCTGGTCTCAAATCCGTACGCAGGTACGCAGCACGCAGTTTATCCGAGCCCGATTGCTTCCTCGGTGAGAGAAAGATGTTATAGATTGCAAAGTCTGATTGGCGGTCAGAATTTGGCAGTACCGTTGGATTTGATAACAAGTATTCCAAACAGGTTTCCGAAACAGCAAGGACGTTCACAACAAATGAACTTATTGACGAAGACTTGAGCGTCTCAACAACCTGAAGCCAAGCCAGCTTCCATCCTGGATAATGGGCAGAAGGTCAAGGGAATGGCGGTTGGGGACAGGACTGCAACTAGGCTGTACGTCAATCTGGGACTCTCGCAAATAGGTTCGAACCTACTTGTCATCAAGACCCGTTCCAGAGCGTGCCTCCGGTCGACGCAGTGTCTATCTGCGGGCTCTAACCAAAATATCCAGAGCCGAAGAATTTTGAAAGAGTCAACCAAACAAAAGCATTAAGCTTCGCCATCCTAAGCCTCCTAGATACCCGGACTTTATCCCAGCCAAAAAGAATCGAACAATCCCCCCCGACCTCTGCCTCACCTTGACGAATCCCGTCCTACGATCCAAATTGAGGTGCAAATTCTTGATCGTCCCAGCCTCGCCAAATGCCTCATGGATATCGTCCTCTGCCGCCTCCTCATGCACGCCAGTAACTAGAATGATGTAACCCTCCACAGCTGCACAGGACGAGTTCTGACCATCACTAGGTGGTTTGCTTATAGCAGGCATTGTTAACTTATGCTAAGCTTCCTCAGGTATGCCAGTTTCGATGATGCACGGAAAAGCTCTGACCATCATCTGGTGGTTTCAGTGGATGAAATGACTAATTGCAGGCCTTGTTTGACCCACGGTAAGCTTTCTCAGAGACGTCAGCAACTACGACGATGCATTTCCTGGTGCTTGGGAAGAGAACTTGACCTAGAGCGCGGCAAAACAATTGAACGAGCAAGCGCCAGCTGTCACTAGGGAGCAAAAAGGGCCAGATACATGGAAACGACAGCCTTCCGCTTGATATCCAGATGGACAATTGACCTGTGTCAATGGCGGAGCAGCTTGCAGCTACAGTCTCCACTCTTCTTTACCCTTAAGCTCAAGGAAACAACCACCAATGAGTTTCGCAGAGGATGCCAGAAGCTTCAAATCCAAGAAAGTGGTAGATGTATTGACCAGATCGCTTTTCGCTTAATGGATCTAAAAGGCCAAGTGACCTGTCTATCGAAGGTTCCTGCTTGTTTGGGGGGCTGTGAAAGACTCTCCATCACACGTAATGTCTAGCCGACCATGTTTTCCTTCCCCAACGCAAGGTCCAGACTTCTATCCGACCTGTGAAGGCATACAGAAGCTCAGGTGCAGAGTCCCTCACATTTTGCAGGCCCAGGCCCTGCCCCAGCCCGTAACGACTCGTATTGACCACCTTGCCTGTCGCCCCTCTCATTTGCAGAGTCCTTAAAACCACGCCCTTTGGTTTTCAGGCCCCCTGCAAGAACGTCCCAATTTGGTCAGAGTTGGACGCAAGTATGACGGTAGAAAGTGCTTAAAGGTCCATCTTGGTGACTGTTTTCGGATTCGATTCTCAGGGCTCATCAGATAAAACTGTAGGCCTTGTACAAACTTTCTAGCACCAAGTCTGGAAGGAATTTCTGGTATACTCGACCTGTGCGACCCATCTTCGGTCATTTGATCCAAGAGGAGCAACTGTGAGGACCTCAAGGAGAAATAGATGCAAGTAACTGTCGCTGTCGACCGGCGACCACGCTGCCGGTTGATTTTCAAGAAATAGGGTTCAAAAGAGTGCTCGTGAGGAGACAGAATATTTATCTTGGAGGAGCGAGGGCTTTGCAAATTTGAGACACCCCATGAGAGGACAAGCTTTTCAAGAAATCAAGACACGTGAGCCTGTAAGATGGCAACAATATGCTAAGTGCTTTTTGTAAAATGTTCAAGATTCCGCACCCTTGAGCCAAAAGAACATGTCTGTTGCTGGCGGTTTGCAGGGTCAGACTTTCAAAGAAGTTTAGAAGCCACATGCCTACTCGAGATTTGTCTCCGGAGGACTCGAGTTTCGCAGACACCAGATGAAGCACAATACAGTGAATTGTAACAAGTTTGAGCAATCAATGCAATAAGATAGAAACTACTGCATGGGACAAAAGAAGAAACGAGCAATTTAGTGCGACACCTTTACCAATTAACAAAAGAATGCCCGTCCCAACAGCCAGAATAAGTTCGGCAGAAAAGCCATACAATCACTGAAGGGAAGGTCTGCTGGTCAGAAACATGCTGAGCGCTGATCGTTGAAAACAACTTGGCTTGTAGTGAGTGAATTGACTCAACTGAAGAAATCAACAAGGCGAACTTGATCCTGTGTGTTTTACCGCCTCTAACTGAAAGAGGACAATCCCAAGGCACGCCTTTAAACACCTCTTCTAGACCACTGCGCTCACATCTAACTGCAGATGTTTCATCAACCAGCGTGCTATCAAAACTGCAGATTCCTAGGAGATTGCCTCCAAAACTGATGACCTTAACATGGGAACTTTGAGGACGCTTTTTCCTTGGGCAAAAGCAGCAACAACAACCAGAAACTTGATTGCCTGCATTAAAACTGCTTCGGTACCTTCCATTCTCCATCAGATAAGACAGAAGCAAATCGCTTGAACATTTTCTATCAATCTCACCTGCTTTTGGAGCCACGGGCTCGTCCTCCTCCATCGCTGCATCCTCTTCAAGCAGCTCGTCCTCCTCCACGCCATAGTCCACCGCGTCAACGTCAGCTGCGCTCATGTTTGCACTATGAGTGGTGGTAGAGTCTCTACGTCAACCTGAGGCACAATACAATAAACCTTGTGATTAAAAGGTCCCTCCAATTGCGCCCCTCCCTTCACCGTTCACGTCTAATCCGATCTGTTTTGATCAATAGGTAGGTGAATGCATTCTGTCGTCAAGAGCAGAACTCTGTGCTAGCTCGTTCTGGCCTTTTTCTCGAGCCAGAGGTTTGACAGTCGTTAACGACGGGTTATCATAGAGAGCTCTTAACACAGCCACTCTGCAGATTTATTGGAGGTAGATTTGTAATTTCTAGGTGTGTCAAAACAACAATGTCATCCAGATGACCTCGATCGAGCTGCAACTTCAAGTTCAAGTCTGGGCAGCATCTACGGTACCTAGGTAGCTCAACCTCAGCTGCTCATGAGTCATGTGTCATTGACGAGTTTCGTGGTTGAGGGCGCATGATTGTTGAGAGGGGCTGAGAGGGACTGAGAGGGGCGCTGAGGGTTTCGATTGCTCACGATGAACTCATGGCGTCCCCTCCTTCTCCTAGCCACTGTGTTACTCTGCAGTATCCAATCTTCCGGTGCGGTCCATGGCCTGGGGGGAGAAGGCTACTCGCTCTGGACCGGCGATGAAAAGGCACACAAGGCGCCAGCGCATAATTGTGCAGGAGACCACAATCACGAGGGCCATCATCACGACGATCATGCTGCAGGGCACATTCACACTCCTGAAGAGGTAGCTGGACACGGCCATGACGAGCACGCTCATGGGGCCCATTCACATCGTGCTCATTCTCATGGCGGCCATTCGCATGTTGCTCATTCTCATGGAGATCACTCACATGGTGCTCATTCGCACGGCGCTCATTCGCACGGTGGCAATTCGCACAGCCACGCTCACGGTCATGATCACGCACACAAGCATGATGGAGGGGTGTCGGAGCACGGCCGTCCTAAGACTCTTGAAGAATTGGAGCTAGAGGAGATGGCGAACTACGGCCTCTCAGCAGCTGTCGAAGAGGAGGACTACAAGCCGCCATCGACTTGGGATAAGCTGGCGGCGGGGCTTGGTCAATCTTCTTGGGGTGAGATCCTTGTTTGGTGATTGTGTTCTCTCCCTCTGTTCATTTGTTGGCGGCTTCTGTTCATTTTGCCATCTGATTTGCACGCTAACGCTCATTGTATGTAGAAGCTTGAGGTTCAGGATTGTTGAAAGCAGGCCAAAGTCCACATTGCAACTGATTCGCGAACCTCATAGGTTCATATCGCGACGTCAATGAGCGAGAGCAATCTGAAATCTTGGTCATGTGCACTCCCGAAGCAGACAGAAGAAGACGTACAAGTAAGAGATCTGAGTCTTCATTTCTATCTTTGCAATGCAGGCACTTGGACTATGGCGATGGGAAGCTCTCTGGCCGTTAGCCTCTGCTCGCTGATCTGTCTGATCATCCTGCCCTTCATTTTGAGAGAAGGACAGACTCCCTCCGAGGGCGTTGTGAGGATACTAACAGGCTTTGGGGTAGGTTGGCCTGTTTTACCTGAAATCTTGGTTTACCAACAGTTCTTCACTCTGTCATCGTATGAATGCTTTGATCGATGAATGCCCAAGCATGTGGAACCGGTTTCCTTACAGGGGCTTATCCATTCAGGATTGCTCTCAAGATTCTCCAGCAGATCTTCATCTATTGGCCCCATTTGGCGCTCGTTGTTCGACAACAACCATACATTGGCTTTGGTCAAACCCAGAATCCTGCAATCCCATGAAAGCCTCTTCTTCACCAATCCTTGCTTCCAAGCTGACATTCTGGTTAACACTCCACAAGATAGGCTCCATTTCCAGCACTTGTTCCAAGACAACTGCATAGCTTTGTAAAACTTACCATTCTTACACAGACCACAGGGTGACTAAAGTAGAGATGTAGCAATCAATTGACACTCATGGTCACAAGTGTCAATCAAATCAACATAGCGCGCACTCTTTCAAAAAGTAGGAGCCAGACACTCTCTCCTCCTTTCTGATCCAGGCTGAGATCATCCCGGCAGAGCGCCAAACAATGATTCGACGAAAGGATAATCAAGCCCCTCTTGGATCAACCAAGTCTCACTCTCCTTTTCCCCATTCACTGGTCCATCCGTTAACCCAGTTTACAACAAACCGGGCCTAAACTCTCTCTTCCAAACCCACTTTCACAGGCGGGAGCGATGGTTGGGGACGCGTTCCTGCACCAGCTGCCCCACGCTTTCAACTCTGGCGGAGCCCATTCACACGGGGGCCATACACACGATCACGGCCACGATGAGGCGCACGGGCATGACCATGGGAGCGGGGGCCATGCGCACTCTATCCAGGACCTCTCGGTGGGCTTAGCTGTGCTAGGTGAGGCGAATAGTTTGTCGGTTTTTCTTCCTTTCGTGGTATTATGGTTGCGGTGAAGCCCCGGGATCCCTTTGGCGCGGATGTTTCGGCCTCGCGGATGACAGACTTTAGGACGGCCAGTGTTTTCCCTCTTGGATTGCTGACCGACTGGGGAAACTAGGATTGGACTGCCTGGTGTCATGCTTGTTGAAAAGGGAAAGCGGTGAAACATGTGAGATCTGGAGGAACATCTTCCTTTTCGTTTGTGACGTTCAAGCTTGATGGGGTTAGTGAGGACATCTCGACAGAAGGCCTGGAAGAAAGAGGACAGAAAATATAGAAAAGGACCACCGAATTTGGAGAAGAGAACGCGCCTTGGATAGATCTTTTCCACAAGCCTCGCCCATTGCGGGCAGCAAAGCTCATCACAGTTTGCCCCTGCAGTTGGCTCCATCGTCCTATCTTTGGTTGAGGGAAGCGAATGATAGCCGTCAGTGCAAATGATGACTTGCAGAGAGTAAGAGAATTTCTGCAATTCTCCTTCGCTGCTCCCTCCCTTTTTTGTCTGCAAGATTCGAGACAAAGTTTAACGCAATAGCTGCGATTATTCGTCGTGGACACTGGTTCATTTGGGGACGTCGAAGCAGTCACCTAAGCAATCTCCGAAGCGATGCGAAGCGAATCAGGCTCTGCTAGGGTAAATCTTAACAAAGCTTCCGGCTCTCATGCTGGTCCCTTCGCAACCCACAGCTCGTCGGTGTTCTCCACCTATGCGGATGGTTCCACTGTTCGAGAAGCGGTTTGTTATTTTGACTGCGTCGAAGACACTTCGAGAGCATGACATGTCTCCCATGAACGCGTCCCTTCGATGTCGCTTGCTGTGTTAAGACCCCTTTCAGTTGCGGCTCATCGCTGTTTCTCCACCACTGCAGTTGGTCTTACCGTTTCGTCCTTGTTGAGTGACCAGTCGTAATATCAGAAGCATTGAAGAAACACATATCAAGTTGTAGGACCCTCTCGACCAATTGCAGCCCAAAAGCTTCGTTCCTGTATGCCAAGCCGGTTTCCAATCTAACCGCATCGCTCTCATCTTATCTTTGCAGTTGGTCTCATCGTTTTTTTCCTGGTCGAGAAAGCAGTCCGTTACGTTGAGGAGGCGACGGCCAAGAACCCAGAGCTCGCGAACCAGATCAGCTTCCAGAAGCAGCACAGCCACAAGCACGGCGCCAAGGGGCATTCACACTATGACGATCACACCGAACATGCGGACGGGGACGCGGTAATTGTAGACAAAGACTCGGGCGCCAAAGCCGAGACGGTAGTCAAGGAGTCGTCCAGCACTCCGTCGGAAGGCGCGAAAAAACGAAAGTCGAGCAAGAGCGGCCCAGGAAAGGATGCGGCAATAAAGGAGAGCGTTTCCGAAAAGGAAGCGGAAAAGGAGCCGGCGGCGAAAGACATCACCGTAACGGCTGATGCGAAGAAAGGGCCTGCGGTTGCGCCCGGGTCGTTGTTAGTGTTGGGTTACCTTAACCTGTTTTCGGACGGCGTGCACAACTTTACGGACGGGATGGCGCTCGGCGCCGCGTTCGTGCACCATGGGGCGGTCGGCGGGTGGAGCCGGACGTTGTTCATGCTCGCACACGAGTTGCCACAGGAGGTGAGCAAGTTTTGCATCGGATTTCTGGCTTGGTTAGTGGTGACTTTTTGCGCTCTCACTATTGCTGTCTACCTGAGCAGGATTAGTTCCAAGTTGATCAAACGAGAGGCCTTCTCCAGATTTGCTTGAGTCAGATTTCGTTGCTATTGCTGTCTACCTGAGCAGGATTAGTTCCAAGTTGATCAAACGAGAGGCCTTCTCCAGATTTCCTTGAGTGAGAGTTCGTTGGATCGACATTCGTGAGCTTCGAGGTCGCTTCTGGATGCGGAGGAACCCTTTCTAGTTGGGAGTATACCGATACGAACGCTTTCATATGGGCGCATACAGAAACAAGAGGGTTGATTCTGCTGCCCTCAATACAGAAGTTGTACCTTCTTTACGCTTGTACAGTTGTCTGTGATATCCTGCTGTCTTCTCGCTGACTGGAAACCAAGTCCACAAATGTTTCTTAGTCAGATTCTGTAAAGAACACTTTGAAGACAATGACAATGCTCGGGCTTCTGACTCTCAAAGGATCCAAAGCTCAGACATTCCGGATATGTCGTGCAGGCTGCGAGAGGATCTACTGACTTTACATCGTAAAGTCACTCTACTCACTTTATCTGGACCCGGCTCCGGTGTTTTGGACTTTTTGGCTGGTCCTCAGCGCTTTCTGTTGGACGTCCCACGTGGCGCTCGTATAGCACGACACTCTCTCTGCAGACGAGGTAGAAAGCGAGCGGAACATGTCTCGAGGCCTTTGTCCCCATAGAGTATCAGTTAAGCAGGATGATGAGCTTTTCACCCTGCGGATTGTCCATTTGTTGAACCAATCGTCACAGATCTGCATCTTCTTTCCATATCCTTGCAGGTTGGTGACTTTGGGATTCTGGTGCGAGCAGGCTTCTCGGTGACCAAGGCGCTTGCGCTCAACTTCCTGTCTGCATCGATGGCCATGGCCGGAACGGCCCTCGCTCTCGTTGTGGGAGGAGACGCGAGCAATTCGTCCATTATTGAGGTACGAAATCTTCGCTAAAAATTTTGCTCCTGTACATGTGTTGTGTGGATTCCTCCGAGGCTTTACAAGCTTAATCATCTGATTTCAACCCCAACAACAGCTGTCCAAGACTCTGATACCGGAAGAAGACGTGTTGATGATACGCAACCTCTGGGGTACCAATGAGCCGGTTCGAGTGTGAGACGCTCCACTAAACTCGTCTTTTGTGCCGCTCAAGATTGTTATTTGTTGCTGAATGGGAACCCTCTTTGGCACATGTGCATGTCAGCACTGATCGGATCCCGCAGTCTGCATCGATCTAGGCTGGCTGAGCTGGAGTGGTCTTAGGTCCTCCAGTGCCTTCTGCGTTTTGTCGTATTACCAGAATTGCTGTCTTCTTACCATCGACGTAAGGTCGTTATCGGCTTCAATCATACCATACGTGGCATCTCCAAGATCCGGGCAGGTCACTGGGGTTCCCACTCAATAAGCTGACAGTGTGCTCATAGCATATGAGACGGTGCGCTGATACCGACAATGATACCTCAGCGCACGTGTTCAGTCTCTTGGAACCCGGGGGAAACTGCAGTTCTGTTGCTTTGATTGTTCGCTAAAGAGCACACGGCATGGAGACTGACTTCCTGTTCTTTCTCTTTTGCAGGGTTTCACGGCTGGAGGCTTTGTATATATTGCGGTGGCTGGAGTGATGCCCGACTTGCACGCCCAGGGCACGAGCGGTTGGGTCACGGTCCAGCAAGTTTCGTCTATGCTCGCCGGGATGGGTGTTGCATTAGCTATCTCCTTATGCGAGTAGAGTATCGGAGTGCTAACAGTCGTGTGCTGGAGAGGTGATTGCACGAGGTTGCCATTTTTAGAAGCCTCCCGGTCCTCAACTCGATCATCACATCCTATTGAGGCCAGAGCGGAGGCTCGACCAGTTGGAGTCGCAGAGGTCTTTAAACGCACGTGCGCTCCGCATGAAGCAAGGGACTTTCTGGGGATGGGATGGGCCTGCAGGATAACCATGCGCCTCGAAATGCGACGCTGGTCATTCGAAAACTCGTCATTCTTAGCCTCTTATGAGGTTCAATGGCCGCTTCCTTTTTCAGCGGCCAGGCTGATCGGCCTCATGCAAAACGGCTGTAGGAGATATTGTCGGCTCTGGATGAATTGACCCATGCTCATGTATGGCCCAGTGGGCTCACGTGGTCCGGTCGGATAATTGTTGTTACAAGATGGTGCGTATCATAGTTCGGGGTTTGCCGGGTCCAAGTGCATCCGAGTGGCATGCGGCTTTATATTCTGGGTTGAGCCCGTGCATGATGGCCATCTGTTTGATCGATTTCATCGTCCCAGTGCCCGCGAACTTAGGCATGCCATCATTACGGTGCCAGGGCGTCCGCGCGCACTGACAAGTCATTATAACTTGACGCGCGGTGCAGCTCAGCGCGGCTGCAGTTGATATATACTAAGATATCCCTGAAATCGGCAGCTAGCCATATGCAAGCGCGCGGCGGCGCATGCAAATGAACTTGAATATGCTCAGCATGTGCCCATGGAAAGACTATATTGTAGTATACCGATGGATTCGTCGGAACTGGCACCATGCAACTCAGCATGGATATCAATCAAAGCTTTCAAGGGGTACGCGCTCTGGCGCACTCGGCATGCGCATCAGCTCGCTTTCCAATCAAGCCAGATCTGCTCGCCTATAAGATACTTCCCCGTTTGTGCATGGGGCGGCCCTTCCTGAAGGCCGGGCGTGACGCGCTGGCAGAACTTGGACCCTTCATTATGATGCGAATCGACGCCACTTATCGAAGGGTTTGGATCATTTCCGCGCCAGCTCTAGGGAACGGTTTTGAGCGCATCATCTTGATCCGACCGTCAGGCGGCCACGGATTCAAACATTTCTGCAGTCTCTTGCAAACGTTAGCTGGGGTTGGTCGAGCTTCAAAAGGAAGCGCTTCTGCAAGGCTTTTGAGAGGAACGCTGACGCGATCGCCGTCTTACGTCTTTGTCGCTTCTTCATGCTTCACCAGAGATGATGTGATACAGACACGCAGCTGCGACTTAAAATCCATTCTTCATTGCTAGTGGAGCGCTGCAGATCAGCTATTCGCACACCTTGTAGACATGGCGGCAGCAATGGCAAGCATCGCGTCCGGCATGCACTCTCTACCCACCGACATTTTGGACGGGGTCACAGAGAGAGTTCGTCGGGACTGCACGGACAGCTTTCAAGCGCTGGAGAAGACGAGCAAGGGCTTTCATGAGTCTGCAAGGAGGTGCACTCAGTCACTAATCATGAGACCTCCGTTGCTGGCTGAGGGGCAGAACGGAGATGCACCAGAATCCTCTCAAAAAATGGAGCAGCAACAGAAGATTCTCGTGAAGGAGATCAACAAGCGGCCTAACCTTTCCAAGCTGACAGTGCATGAGTCAGTCTTCGTGGAGCCAGGCAGCAAGTCCTCAATTCTAAAGGCTCTGTCAGGCGTATCTTGGGTCTCTTGCACTATCTTTGGCCACAGATTGGACTCAGCTGCGCAAGCTGCCTTCAGCACCAGATCGCAACTGGTTACCTGGGAGGGTTCTTCAAGCAAGCGCGCGCTCTCTGCTTCCAAAGCAAGCTTGAAAGAACTGACCCTGGTGGATTTCGATTTCAGCGAGTCGAAGCTCTCAAAATTGGCTCAGCCTTTCCTTAATCTGATGTTCTTGAAGCTCGGAGGCTATGGATGCGCAGTAAACGTGCAGCATGAAAAGTTGGAAGAGCTTGACATTTTGGGAATCTGGGATCCTTCATATTCATATCCGAAGAAACCTGTTCGTTTCCAAGGCGCGTGGCTGCCGAGTCTTCGACACCTCATAGCACCTGCATGCTGCAAGACCGCACCCGGGAACGGCAGAATCCTTCTCTTGGAGTCATTCGCAGACCGTCTTCGACTGCCCCGCAATCTGGAGGTTTTGACGCTTCAATGGCAAACGACGATTGAGTTTGGGGAACTGGTCCATGGAAACCGTCTACAGAAGCTGCTTTCGAAGTCCGAATGCCCGCATCTTCAGAAGATACACGTGCAAGTGACGGAGGCAGCGGCACGAGAGAGTAGCGTGGATCTGGCCTGCACTGGCGAACTGTTCCGTTCTGAGACGAGGCGTCTTTTCAGAACCTGTCAATCGCTTGAAGAGCTCTGCTTCAACGATTCCAACGAAGAACTGATTGTGAAGTGGGAGAGAACTTCGGAAGGAGTCATAGAGTCCGACTGGGGATTTGGCCAGCTTCGTACGCGAACCATCCTTTGAGAAGTGAAGATAGGAAGCATGAATGTTAGTGACGTTTGATGTCTACGTCTGCAAGTTAGTGCTGTTCCCCTTAAAGCTTGAGCTGCTCTGTACAGTAAGCGAGTACAGGAGGTTAAAGGGTGCTCGAGTGAAGAGGATACAATATCGACAGACTCTTACGGATGCGTGTGATCGGCAAGGACTATGCATTTCTACAGTGGCTCACTTCTCCATCGATCGATCTGAAAGGGTGTCGGAGATAGATATAAGAAAATGCTTCCGAAGAAGATTGTATGAACGAGGAGTCACAGGCGCCTATCAGATGCCTCGAAGCAGTGTTACAGATCGTCCACCATTTGCCAGGAAAAGGGGGTACAAGCTTAATGATGTACAGTGTGTTTCAATTCGCATGTGCACATGACTGCCGCATGGCGGCACATGGTCTGTTCATAGTTCAAGGTTCTTCTCATCTCGACAATCTTAACTTCAAAAAGGTGTTTACTTTTCTTGATGGACGGTCGGCAACGTACAAATGCATGGCCATGGGCCTCGCGGCCTTGGCCAGAGTCTGCACATTTGCAAGTAACCGTCACTGCAAATTTGGGCGCGCGCCGCGTATGCCAGATGCAGACATGCGCCATGGCTGTACAGTCCGGCCACGCCCTGCGCTCCAGATCGCGAGGATAAGGAGCCGGGCAATGATGCAGTGGGTGTCCCGAGCTAGGACATATCATTGCATTCGCGGCCCAGCCCCCACGTTCATGAAACGTACTGCAGACGTTAAGTTCACATGAATTGACTGCTTTTTGTTCGCTGAATGCTCACGATTGAGCCCAGATAAAAAGTCCTAGCATGAGCTCCAGAAACGCAGATCTTTGAAGATTCGGCAGCCGTGAATACATGGTGAAAATTGCAACGACGTAATTTCAGCATCTGAAAGCAGTATTCCATCCGATCGCTTCCCGAATTTCGAAACGTCTACTTGGCTCCCGAACCTGCTAATGAGAAAACGCTTGCTCCTGATCAGACTGCCTGGGTGACCGACTAGCCAACGGGCTGCCTCAATCGACTTATTCCTGATAATTATGCTATCCAACGAGCTGTACAAGGCCTGCCAACACTGGTACTACACTAAATCGACTTCCAAAGTAATTGACGCCTAGACGATTCTAAGCTGTTGCCCTGCACAATATCAACACTATGAACGGCGCGGCGCCAATCCAACGCCGCGCATCAACAATTCGCAAAGAATGAGCGAGCGGGTTGTCCGGTTCGCATCTTTACCCCATTCATCCCTTCCCCTCAACACCGTACTACTCTTCTTCCCTGTAGGCAGGAAGCAGAAGCTCCGGCTTTTGGAATATCCCACAAGTGAGCGGGGTTTTCGAGTCATCTTATCGCCCCAACCGATCCCCTTCCCCAAACGCCGTACCAACTTTTCTTCTGAAGCGCCAATTTCGCCTTCCGATCTTTCCCAGTACGGTTTCCCCTCAACGGCGTACCAGCTCTTCCTCCTTAGGGGCCGGCAGCGAGAACTTCGGCTTCCGATCTCTCCCGGCGCGCGACGCATCCCTCCATCGCCGGGCGGCCGCAGCCATAGCCTTGGCGCGGCTCATGCCGGTCGCTGTCTTCTCGCGCTTTTCCTTCTCGTCGTCCGACTCGTAGCTGGTTCCCCCAACCAGATCTTCCGCCATTTCCCAGGGAGCCTTCGCCCAGAACGGAGTGACCTTCTTGCCCGGGGGAGCCTGCTTCTCTTTGTAGGCCTTCGCCCGGGCCGTTTCCTGAGACAGCATTAGAAGGTGCTTCACTTTCAAAGTACGCTTAAACTCTGAACGTCAGATGGCGGAAAGTATCGAGGATAGAAGCATGCTCGTCAAACCTTTCCCAGTCACGATTGGGAAAAGCGTGTCACCCCGGGAAAAAACTACTGAACTCTGTGATCCAACAAGCGGGCAACTGTAGTCGATACAAAGTATGCTCGTCAGACGCCAGAAGCTTTGCGTCAGCACTCGATTCCAACGGCGACTTACAAGCACAATTTGATGCATGATGCAACTCCGCGCGATGGTACCGTCCATTCGACGGAGCCGCATCAACGGGCATGAATCGGATGTCAAGATGTCGGATGATATCAGTCGTTTTGCAGCCCTCGGAAAACGCCTGACACGCTCGTCAGTTTGTACGGCCTCGGTCATCCACATTTAGTTGCTTCAGGGCTCTTTTCTAATGCTATCTCGCATTTTGACCTCTGTCCGCTTCTACTACACGTCGAAGTACCAGCTGAGGGACAGACGTCAGCAAAGGGTAAGCAAGAGGAGGGGCCGCTTACCACTGCACGCGCCTGTCGTTTATCCCAGCGCCAGGCGGCCTGTGAGAATACGTCCTGCCCGCCGTGACCCTGGCCCGCCAGCATGAGGCCCACGTTCACGCGCTCGAGGCGTCGCATCTCGTCCTCGAGCAGGGTCAGCTGGGGGAGAGTTACCCAGTGGATGCACGACACAGGACTGCGCAGAGGGGTTTGGACACGGTTAAGAGACAGGTTGGGGAAGTTTGTGAATGTTTAATCGTCCTCGAGCAGGGTCAGCTGGAGGATATACCCAGTGGACGCCTGACATGGGGCTGCGGAAAAATGTTTGGAAAGGGTTAGGAGACAGGTCGATTTCGCTTTGCCAATGTTGTGGAGCCTCTTGTCCTCGAGCGAGATCAGCTGCAGGGGGGTCAAGAACCAGTGGATGCACTGCGTAGAAGGATCAAGAAAGGTTCGAAAGACAACATACCTGGGCACAGAAGCCGGGCCAGGATTGCAGTAAGGTCAGAACGCCACTCAACAAACACTCGCTTTCGCCCGGCATTGAAGACGCGTCAGCAGAGTGAACCCGAGCCCAAATCCGCTGGCCCAAGCGTGACCATAATTTCGACAGATGCCTTCCTTGACTTCTTCAGCAGTGAACCAGAATGTCCAACAGCGTGAGGAAACTTGAATGATCTCGAAGCTCTTCTACTCACCACGTGTCGATGGCCTCCTGTACCAGTTCAGGCGCCTCTCCTGCCTGATCCATTACTCGCGCTCGCCCATGTTCCGGTTCGATGTCGAATGTCTGAGGTGCGCAATTTGCGCAGTTCTTGCACCCTGTAACAAACGCCAATCAGAAGCATAAGCAAGTAGAACTAGTGTCTCCTCCGCATATTGACGAAAAAGCAGACTGTGGACTGCTTTGAGGACGTACAAAAGAGGAGAACACCATCCGACAGCAGGGTCTGAGGAATGCGTCGGTCGGTCCAAGACGATTGAGTGGCACACGTCAACGCAGCAATGGTGGGTGACACAGCTGCCTTAAGAGGTACAACAGAGGAAGGCAGTCATCAAAGCGTTCCATATGGTGCAAGCATCAAGCGAGGAATATCTGTGTATCTAGGATTCTTCCTTTTCTCGAGGTGGCAAGGCACTGACCAATGCAAGAGAATTCGTCGACGAAGGCCTGGTCGCGCTCCAGTGTGGTATTAAAGAAGGGGTTCTGGGACGTCAGCGTGAAGCCATTGATCTCGTCATAGATGGCGCGCTGGTCCGGGTCGCTCAACACCTGCGATAATGAGCAGACGTTACGGGCGTTGGATGAATTTATGCACATCCCACAGCACACAGATTCAAATGGAAGATACGGCTGGAAAATCGCGGAAACAAACAAGCATCCGATGGAACCCCGCGCAGAGCGATCAGAATGGATGTGCCATGAAGCATGTGCTTGGATAAGATTATCAAAAAGAGCGAAAGGGATGCAACTAGGCACAACAACCCCATTGCGCCCAATTCCGGAAGGGTCTGTCAGGTGAGAGTATGCAAGTGATGGAAGGTAAAATCGAGAAACAATGTAGGCATACTTGTGGTAAGACAATTGAGCCTGTTCGCACAGGCTCTCCCTAAAGATAGGGAGGGGACACTGGCCTTGTCCTTCATGAAAGAGACCCAGGCTGGGGGCGTCAGAGCCATATCCAACAGATGTATATTGAGACTGGGGGGGAGAAAGAGATGGAGCAGAGGGACTTCTAAGATAGAAAAAAGCAATCTGAACAGCAACTCCCAATCTTTTAGTCACGTTCCTACCCAGGTCCCGTAGTCTGTGTGTTAACAGAAGAGAGATATGTATGAAAAGACGAAAGCGGTATCTGGCGAAGGGTCAAACATATCAACCAGATCTAAGAATCAATCTCTTCAAAGAGTGGTACCAAGCAGAAAAATGTAGAAAAACAACAGGCGCGTGTGTCTGTATCTGGAAAACGCGCAATTGAAGTTGATGGCTGCCGTTGTAATTGTATGGGCATACCCTTTTCAGCAAAAATGTCCTACCTCGTACACCTCGTTGATAAATTTGCAGAAGGCGGTGCTGTCAGGATGCTCGCCCGTTAGGTCGGGGTGGCACTCTTTCATCATGCCGTAGTATGCCTTCCGGATCTGGCTGCCGCTTGCCTCCGGAGACTGCACACAGTATGTGGATACACTCTTACCACTGTTGATAAAAGTGAACAGTATGTCCAGAAGGATCAGAGGCACAAAGAGTGTACAGCGGATGAAGTGAAGATGCAGTCTCCGAGGCCCTTCAAAAAGGGTTTCCACTTAGTAACTTTTCTTGAACAATACGGTTACTGAAGGTCACATTGACGCCAAGCTCGGGCAGGATAGGAAGTCTAGTCGAAGACAAAGTTAGGCTGTGGCCAGACATCTGATTGCCGTACAATATAAGAGAAGCTTGCAAGGACCTTGGGGCAATTTATGCGTTCACAAAATCTGCCTTCGCAACCGTCACCTTTGTTCAAGACGGCGTCATTAGTCGCATGCACATGTCACTCTGGAAATTGCCGAGTGCACAGCTTTCAAAAGATATCTCAAATGCAGCCTTGCTGTAAAGAAACAGGTTTAAGCTTAATGCAACCAGACCCTGTGAGGTTCATCGAAGTCTTTGAAAGCTCAAATAAGTTTACGAAGTACCTGCATGCAGTCTGGGGGCCTCCGCCAATGTCACAATCTCAAAGTTCAAAGGAGTTACTAAGCGTGCATCAGCACCGCACCAGAGCTAACCGGTGACTAGACAATCTTACCAATCCAAGTACAGAGTAAAAATCCTCGGCAATTGTCTCCCCCAAAATGTCTATCTCAGTCCCTTGGTCGTAGCCGTCGAATGCTGCTGTTGTTGTCCCCTTTCGTCCCCTCACATGTCTTCTGCAATTCAGATTGTCCCTTGTCTTCATACCATGAGGGAACCGTCCAGCTTGAGCACCCGCATAGTGCTGAAAGCTCCGCTTATCATAAACCCACCCCCCTTTCTTCTGATTCCGCCCTGCTGCAGCTACAGCTATCGACGGGCATGCGTAAAAGGAGGGACACATTCTCCTGCTCGGCGCCCCTACTTTTCTTGTAGAGAAACCTCCCCATACAAGCGGCTGTACAAAGAGAGATGACGCAGAGGACGCCATTACGGGGGACAGGAGGGCGTGTCAGGAGCTCTGTAATGAGCGCATGCACCCCCTAGGCGAAGGAGAAACCTGGAGGCTGGAAATTGGAAGAAGAGAGGTCACAGGTGCTCGAAATGGATTCGAAAATTTGTCAAGTATTAAGTGAACCCTAGGTGGAACAACCTTGCGAGTGAACCCTAAATGCGAGTCTCACGACCCTTCAGAACACCCCCTCAAAGGCACCCAATTTCAGGGTCTCTGCCACTGCGTTTAGAATTCTACATGAATTGAATTCATGTCATAGCTCCATACATTCTACATGAATTTGCGGATGTGGGAACGTGCTGGACCTCTGAAAAGCCTGCAAGTGCCACAAGAAAGCGTCCAAATTCTGCAAAAATATCTCAAAAGTACTTTGCTTGTAAAGTTCCCACACCAGCCTTGGCAGCATCGTGGGCGAAGGAAGTCTACCAAGGCGAGACGATGATCGCGACCAAGCGTCTTGCTGACGCCATGGTGCCAGCTTGCAGCGTTGGTGCGAGCATCAAGGGGGCAATCTCGCTTCTGGAAAAGTTCCTGTCGCGTAACTGTTCAGCATGTGGCGCCTTGCATTCCGCCAAGGGGGTGGATGCAACGGATGAGCGCAGGTTGGTCAGTCTCGATGCCAATGCTGTGAGCCCTTCGTACAGAGAAGATAGTTCGCCAGTTGCAAGAATGATAGGTCTATCAGCCCTAAGGTTTCAAAGCCCCTCAACAAACTCTTGGAATATCATGCAATCATATCGGAATAAGCGGTTCTCCTTTTGTATCACCACCTTAGTGGGGCAGTGGGAGAACCACTTGTGCTTTCACACCACCTCAGAAGAGAGGGACTGGCAGTCTGGAAACAAGCGCTTCATCAATGAGGGTCCACACGAGCTCAGGGGGCTGTACATCCTCCTCCTGATTCTAGGATCTTCTGGATTGACGCTAACCCAAGTTCAAGCAGACGCCACCCAGTCGAAGGCTGAGGGACTGAGCGTTCAGGAAGGTGACTCCCAGGAGGGTTTGCAAGTGCAAGATCTCCGTCCGGCAGGTGACGTGAAGACAAACTCCCACACGGCACGGTGGCGAATCTACACGGACACAGGCAGGGACCTCTTTTCTCAGGTGAGGAGCAAGGGGTCCTTCATGTGAATGGATCACGTGTGCACCTCGATCCAGACCAGTCGTTGATCTGATCGACCGTCCCAATGACCATGTTGGACACCTCTCAAAGTCGGTTCCGAACTGGCCTCTTTGATTTGCGATTGCAAAGGCCCCTGCCACAAGTATGAGCCATTGCTGACTCTCCGGAACTGGCTTGATGGGATTGGCAGCGTGACTGAAGAAAGGGGACATATCCATGTTGTGAATACAGAGATTAGGAGGCCTCTCGTTTCAGACCTTGGCCGTATTCCGGCTTGTTAGAGAAGTTTGGTGGGACATTTAGAAGGAGGGGTTGTTTCCATATTTGAACCATCAACCTGAACACATTGATGCCCCCTTGATTGCCCAGGGCCGCCTGGAGGAAGCAGAGAAGTACCTCACTCAGGCCTTGGAGCAGGCGAAGCTGGGGTTCGGGGAGCATGACCAGCATGTCGCGTCATCCTACCAGAACCTGGTAAGACCCGGTGGCCGGCTTTCACCTTCGTTAGGAGAGATATACTTCAATGGCATAAATAGGGTACCCGGAGGCAAGTTCCACACAGGTTCACAGCGGCTGCTTCGGTACTGTGCAGAAACTGGTTTAATCTGACGATTGGAGCAGTCTGGCAGGCTTGATATGCGTCTCAAGGTGCGGAGAGGCAAGCGCCATCTCACAGAGGGATGTTGCGCTCCGATCAGTCCCATTGAACACAAGGTCCTCGTGCCAGCCAACAGATCCCTCATCGCAAGACTTGCATCTCAGCAAGAAGAGGATAATCTTCGCACAGCCTGCTAGTTCAGTTTTTATATAAATGGGTTTCGTTAGGCAGACCTAATCAGTCAAATTTAAACGTCCCACGAAATCAGAGTATTTTTGACACTGGACAACGAAAGACTATACAAGCTTTTATTCGTTGTTTAGAATCTTCACGTCTTTTTCTTCCTCGTTCTTAGCCCCTGTCCATACGTCCACGCAGGCAGAGTTGTACCGGATCAGAGAAGACTTCGCAAGAGCGGAGCCGCTGTACGTAAAGGCTATCGACCAGTTGAAGGCAACTGTGGGGCCTGAAGATTTCACCGTCGGGCAGGCGATGCACAACTTGGCTGGCTGTTACCTCGTGCAAAGGTACGCTCTCTCGACAAGTCGGTTCAGGAACTGTCCTGCGGGTGGTTTTTCTCATGTAACGTGCTCACACAGTCTACTGTAGAAGTCCACAAGATTGAACGCCTGCTGTCGAAGATCCATACAAAAGCATCCTAGTAGAGAGCAAGATAGGGAATGGATCTCATTCTCGTGCAACCCACCGCTTCTTGACAGGTAACTGGTCTTTTCTGTGTTTGAGCAAGGTCCGCTCAAAGTTTGTGGTTGCGAACTGAGAACGTTCAGAGGCAACCCCTGAGCCCGGCATGTATCGGATGAGCTTTTTTGAGCGCTCCTTGAAGGCTGTGTTTTGACTCAATCACTTCAAATCATGCACTATCTGATCGTACATCGGGCGATCAATTCCCCATGCGCTTCATCGCTCCATCTGCTCCGAGTTCTGCATAAACTCACGCGCATCTGCTCCCATGCTTATGTGGACGGCTTCGCTGTTCACCATTTTCGAAGCGGGAGCAGACCATCTCACCACTTTCTTGTTTTTGGATAGGAACTTTGACATGGCACGGGAGTACTACGAACAAGCGTTGGAGATCAAAGGGAAGGCGTTGAGCACCGCACATCCGGAGTATGCCAACACGCAGTTCCATCTAGGAGAGGTGCGCAATTTATCTGTGCTTTCGTCTTCCTTCCTCTCTTCCCGTTCTTCCGCTCCACTTCTTGTGGTTGTCCTTATCTTGCTCTACTGGTAAGGACTTTGAAAGACAGCGGTTGCTGAAATATATTCCCGTGTCGCTTGCTCGATCCGGCACGATTACATAATTTGTCGCCATTGAAGTGGTTAAAAATGGCCAGTGATGCATGGTCGTAGTCTCCAGTTGGAGCCCGCCTTGCGTTATCCTTCGATCCTCACATCAAAAGCCAATGCCGGCTCTTGCTTGCGGGGAGGCTACTCTCCCTTGTTACAGCTGACATCAACACGGTCTCGGCGTGATTTTACCTCGTCCGTTTCCTTTTCCTAGTGGGTCGGCACGATGACGCCGCCACCCTGATGCGGACTTCTTCTTCCAATTTCATGGCTATGACTACTTCCACTCATAGCTGACGTCAGTCTGCTCCTCACTTGACGCCATACCACTCACTTTCCTCAGGTTCGTCAGCACTCTCTTTCCTGACGTCGCGTCGTTCACTTTTTCCAGGTGCTGCGGCTACAAGGCCGGCACGACGACGCCGCCACCCTGATGCGAGGCTCCGTCAAGATTCTTGAGGAGGGGGGGGCCGCTCATACGCCGTCCGTCATCAGAAAGATGGCGCGGCTTGCAGAGATTCTGGTGAGGCCCCCATTGGTCCCAGCGTCGGCTGAGCGTCCTTTCTGTGTTGCGGTTTCTGGGATGCTCGGTTGTGAGCCACCAAGAGGCTTTTTCTGACTTTGTGGCGGACTGGCCGGATGGGAGCTATGGGAAGCACAAGAAAGGTTATATTGTATATGAGAGGTCCGCCTATGGGTATACAGGCAAGAGGTTAACGAGGGCGTCAGATTTCAAGGTACACTCGTGCATCTAAGTCCTGAGGAAAGCTTTCATCGGACGGCTCAGATTCCATCTCGAAAACTGCCTTCGGCGACCAAGCTGGACCTGATGCGGGGCAGTTTGGTCGCTTGATGTAGGACCGGTCCTGTGACGCCCTCTTTAAAGGAGATGTTGTGCAAGGTGCGTCGCACTCAGGGGCTAGGACCTAAGATTCGTATCACCCTTGTTCCAAGAGTTCATTTCTGCCACTCAATATTGAGCTCACCTTGTAACAGACACAACCCTGAACCTTCAGGTGGACAGACGCGAACTAGCGGAAGCGGAAAAGTTGCAGCGCAAGGTGATCCACGCAGTCGAGATGGTCCAGGGGCCGAAGTCCGCCGCCCTCGCAACCGCTTCGGAGAACCTGGCGGCCACGCTTCTAGTTGCCGGGCGGAACGACGAAGCCGAGGAGCTGTTTCAAAGGTGGGTGTGCGTGCTCTTTCTACAACGCCCAAGTCGCAAGCTTTTTATTTGTTCCTTCTGAGCTTGTTCCCATTCTTCGATTAGGGCCTGGCGGCCATGGAAAAATACGCCGCTTCTGACAGCCGGGCGATACGACGAAGCCTAGGAGCTGTTTCAAAGGTGGGTGCGCGTGCCCATTTCACCAGATTACGCCCAAAAGTTGCAAGCTTTTCTTTCGTGTCTTTCTGGCTTGTTACGGCAAAGGGGGCCTGCAGCAGCAATTGTTGTCGCCTCCGTCTTTTTGCCCTTGGAAGATAGATTCTTTCCCTTTGGTTCGAGTCAATGCCCAAGTAAGCCAACGTCAGCTTAAGTGCAGAGCGTTGGCTTTGGTTCCCGTGTTTCCTGTCACCCTTTTCCGTTCCAGTAGACGAATCCTGGCAATGCTCAAATATGACGCTACAGCGCTTTCAATCTGCTTCCTTGAGCCGTCTAACAAACGAACTCGGCGCTCCTTCTGCAGCGCTTTGCCGCTCTGAAAGGAGCTCACTTTCAACGGCCCAACCGTCGGCCGGACGCTCGCAGCTCTCTCGTAAATGATTATCACGCTTGCAGCTCTTTCCCTTGTTCTCCGTCTCCGCCGGACGCTTGTCTGCCTGGCTGAGGCAACGACGGGCGCAGACGAATGAAAAGCGGGGAAAGGCTGGACTCTTTGTTAGCGCTCTGGTGAACGCTTTCTACTCTTATCTTCAGCACTCCGAAAGGAGCTCGATTCCAACGGCCCCACAGTCGGCCGGACGCTCGTGCGGAGGTGATGGAACAGCGGGCGGAGTCGCACGATAAGCGGGCGAAGGACTTGTTTTTCTTGTTCTCTGTCGCGCTCTGTTGAACAATCTCTATCTACCTTTTCCAGCGCTTTGGCGCTCCGAAAGGAGCTCGATCCCAACGGCCCCACAGTCGGCCGGGCGCTCGTCTGGCTTGCGGAGGTGACGGAGCAGCGGGCGCAGTCACACGAAAAGCGGGGGGACGCGCAAGAAGCTCTGCAAGGGTACGAAGCCGCGGCGGAGCTGCTAGAGCCAGCGGTGCAAACTCTGGAAAAGGTGAACATTTGTACTACGTCGTTCCTTCGGATGAAGTTATCCTATGTTTTGAATCTCTCGGTTATCCTGAGTCCTCTCTTAGTTGTCTTTGTCGTGACCGTTTCTTTATTTTTGGTGGCCTCGTTTGAACGGGCGGGGGCGCGTCACTTACGTATTGCTGCATGCGCTTGTCATTCCGTTGGTTTGCTCCCCGCCAGTTCGTCTTGAATCTTCTGTTTACTCCGGGCTCTGCTCTCACCAAGCTCGTTTCAAGCTCATGTTGAGTGAGCTTCCGGTCAATTGGTCGATATTCGTTCATCCTCCATACTGCCCTGACTTGCAACAGCCGGCTTTCGTCTCCCTCACAGTCGTAGGGTCTGATTTCCAAACGTCTCCCTCAACACGTTCAAAATTACAATCGTAAAGTATGAGAAAACGAATCCAATCTTCTGCCAGGCCTGGCAAAAAGCCGGTTCTGCCCTCCAGGCCGCGCTCCGAGCGGACGCCACTGCCAAACGGAACGGTTCCGGGGTCCGAGACGCAGAGGCGCAGCTGCGAAAAGCGCAGGCGGCCATGCTCCCCAGGCTGCAAGAACTGGTACGTGCTCATTCACATCAAGCAACTTATGTGCCCATGCACTGGTGTAAAAAGGGACTCAAATTTGTTTGACGGAGGGCGCTCTTCCTGCTGTTAAGAGCCGGTAATTGCTTCCTCGCACATCTGCGCGTTTTCGCCTCGTAGCTCTGGTGTGACGTCTTTTCAAGCCTTACCATTAGAGCCTGGGTTATCGGCTGCAGGATCTTGGGAGCTTTTCTATGATGCCGGGGCATTCGTTGAGACGCAAGGCTTTGGGGCCCCAATGGAAGGGCTGTAATTCCCAGGCTGCAAGAAGTTTGGGGTGCTTTTCTACATGTCCGCAGAGAAGGTTCTACCTTAATGCCCTGTTTCACTCACCTTGAACGCACGCGCTTGTCGATCTCGGGCCCATTAGATTCAGGGTCAGCAAGTTGCAGCGCCAATTTGAAGTGCATCAGGGGTTAACTTCACGGCTTTCGAACGTACACTCGACTCCCCGCCTTTCTGGGACGTTCCGAACAACCCGTCGGAAAGAAATATCGTCCCTGCGTCTCAAGGGGCCCGAACTTGGTTCTCACCGACACGATCGGCGTTCTGCCCTTGTGCAGGTGCGTGCCCTCTCCGCTTGTGGGCGGGTTGATCTTGCGCGCGCTGAATCAAAGGGTCAGATCGCACCGGAGGAGCGGCGCAGGTTGGAGTTGACGGGGGAGGCGGCCGTGCGGCGCGCGCTCGAGCTGCTGACAGAGGTAAAGCTCACGAGTTCTTAGTCTTGCCTTGCTGGTCGGAAAGGAATTCATAATATGAACGGACGAGAATGGGAGGTAACGGGGTACGAGAGATTGTGTTCACTGAAAACAGGATTAGGTGTCAAGAAAGACAGGGGAGGAGAATCGGTCTTGATAAAGGTGGAGAAGGGTGTTGATAGGGGACGACAATGTTATAATAAAAGGGCTTGAGGAAAGCTGTTCGCAGGGGAGGGGTCAAAGGAGAGAACTTAGAGCGGCTGAGATTTGAACTTTCTTTCTCTTCAATCCGCAGTACGGCCCCCTCATCCCGGGGCTCGAGAAGCCCCTCAAAGAGGTCGCCGTTCAGGAGAAGGTGCGCGTGCTTCTCGAAATGCTGCTCAGCGTCTGTCGACACAAGCGCGCGCACGCCCGTTACACAGAGGTAATTACGTCCTCTGATTCATTCCTTTTTCCTGGAATCCATTCTGGGGGTTCGAAAGCCGGTATTTAGGGTGCTCGAACGTTTTGCAGGCCGGCTTTTGGGAGTGAGACTGTTCGCTTTGAAAAGTTGTATCCAAACTGTTCAATTGAAGAAGCGGGTTCCAGCAGATTTAGGCGTTCTTTGGGACGCTGGACTGAGGCCAGGCATATCATCTCCCTTTTCGCCTCCATGGGCTAACTATTCAAGCAAACGGTCCCGCTCTTCAAAGGATACAGCGTTCCGCAACCCAGTCCCCCATGAGCTATGCCCTTATGCCAGTCACTTTAAGAAAATTGATATTGAGTTTGATTTAAAGCTTCCGCATTTCTCTCTCCGCTGTGATCGCTTCTGCTACATTCGACCGGTTTTTCACCGTCATAGCTCTTAGAAAACGAACTCGAATCTTGGAACACATATGTGACTGGTCGACGGTTGTCCCCCAGGAACGCCGTTCCTTGTGATCGTGAGCGAAGCAATGCGTGCCAACTCTGTATCTACCTGCCTGTTGTAGATTGCGACTAAGAATGCCGAAAAGGTCTGGTACGTCCATCGCCAAGCTGCATTTGGGAGCTCTTAGCGATCATTTGATACACCTTTTTACGACAAAATTGTTGCGCCAAACTCCTTACATTTCGGAATCAAGTTCTCGCTCTGGACCGTTAAGATGGCCCTTCCGAAGCAAGTGCGCAGTCGAGTCTGAGGACCGGTCTCTGATTTTGATGCGATTCAAAGGCGCGTTTTTTTGGCATTCTGTAGAAGCAAATGTAATGGACGGAGAATTTGTAACGCAAGCGTTTCTGCGGAGTTGAGGAACAGTCCGCTTGCATCCGCAGTATTGCCCAATAGTACAACTATTGTCACTCGCTCACGCTGGACCCAGTTAAGACACGACTATTAAATGGTCATGCAGGTTTTGGATCAAGAGATTGCTCAACTGTCGAGCAAACTGGAAGCTGTGAAGATGGCGATTGAGGAGGCACGGCAACTCGAGCGAAGGTTGAGCGACGCAACTCGGAAGCAGTTGGACGCGCCGACAGGTTGGAGGGCGTGGATGAAGCTCAAATTTTAAGCATACGTACCCCTCTACAGTTGTGCACAATGGTGTTTTCAAGCCAGATCATATAGATCCTTCATCTGCATAAGCATACACGGGCTCGAAACCCTGTGCGCTAGACGAGAGAGCCTGACCACAAGCGAGTGAGAGTTTGCATTCAGGCAGTCATCCATGCGTGAGTCAAAATAAGTAGGGGCATACAGTATTACATACATCACATTATAAAGCCCGTACTGAAGCATGGGGCTTAATTGAGTACAAGGGGTTGGCATCAAATGCCATGATGCGCCCAATCTGCATTCCCACGGTTTATGGTATGGTACCGTTGTGAGCGGCGGCTTCGACTTGGAGTGCATTTCGACACGTTTCAGAAAATGTCGAGGACGCTGATCGCGAACAGCGTTTGGACGGGGAGGAGAACGTCCGGGTTATCAAGGAAGGCGGGGCCGGCAGAACTTACGAAAACCAGGCGCGCGGAGATCGTTGGGCGGGGCGGGTGCTGGGCCTTTGAACAACACGCTGACGTCATCAGGAGAGCTGACGTCAGCGGCGAGCCCGTGCGAAAAGGCGGCCCAGCACACAATGGGAAGCATTAAAGTCAGGACAACGGTAGTGGCTACGAAAGTATCCGGAGAGGCGGCGCGGCCGCACGGGGCGCCAACAATGTGAGCGCCACGTCGAGTGGTGAGCAGACCACTTCACCACTTTGTGGAGCTGGTTCTCTATTACACGTCTTGCCAAGCGTCGAACCCCAGAGAGCGGACAAATGGAAGCGTTTGTGGTTCTTTTTGCGACCCTGCGCCCGTGGGCCGGTGGACTTGAGGTGCGGAGCATTGTGCACATTGTCTTGATCAAGCTTGAAGGGATTTACTTAAGGCCCTTGATTCTTAGCTCACAGCCTCATTTAGGTGATTACATGTAACTAGTCACCAGTCGTTTTGTACACGTGGGCCCAGCATGGCGCGTGCATATATCTGAGATACATGCAACACCTTGAATGGGAGAGTTTGATCGCGTACGATGCAGAGTTAAGATACAAGCACAACCCGTAAAGGTTTGTGGCTTCAACGTCCCGCCGTTTTCCGTGGGCATGGCGGTCCCATGGCGGTCTTGACTACTAAGGAGTGACTTACGGACTTAATTACGGGTGAGTGACTTAGATTCACGAACTCCGACCAAACAAACTAACGAACCTGACCCCAGATGATCACCCGCTCTGCACCCGAACCCACCCTAACCACCATGCTGACCCCACCCGTCCCCCGGGCGCCTATCTAAAGTCATTCGGCTGTTAAGTCCCTCTTTAGTTACCAGAGTGTCTTGACTTGCTAGTATGAAATACCTAATTGAGCATCTTCAAAGCTTCAAGTTGGTGTCAAAGAGCGGCGCGGCCGAGGTGGCCCGCGCCGCATAGCAACCGCGGCCGCACGTACGCACGGTCAAGCAATGAACTCTAACCCTCGAGCTCGCGCACACCAAATTATGAGCATGTAGACCTCTGGCTCAAGTCTAGTCAGGCAACGGTTATGATCAAACAAAGTTCCTGCTATATTTACCGATTTGCTGCTGTACGCGCGTTGCCGGTCCCGGCGCCGGTTTCCGCGCCGATACACTGGGAAATACTAAAAGCAGACGGTATCTAGAAACGTCTGCTTTACCGGCCTTTTACCGGTACTTTCCATGGTACGGTGTCTTTGGACACCCTATTTTGGACTAGGTACGTACGGAGTGTCGCTAGGTAAATTTCAAGTTTTTGAGACTTCATTTGAGTTGGTTTTCTTCTGCCAGCAGTGCTAGGCACTTTAATACAGCTGACATGCACTTGCGTTGTTGGAAAAGGCGGGAAGCTTTTGATTGCGAGCATCCATCAGATGATCAGAGACTCATGAGTTTGGCCCCGGAGCTGGCTGCAGCCTCAGGAACTCATCTGACCGCACTGCTCCAGCTCATGAGAGCTCCTAGAATTGATATAGTCAGCTCTTGAATTGACGCATTGCGCCCTTACCTCATCAAGCGAGCTGGCTAGAAATTGCAAGCCAATCTTGATGTGCCCCCTAAGCAGAGGCTCGCTCAAGACTTTGACACCCAACTCAAGCAAGTCTCAATAGGTTGTTGCGCAACTAGGAGATAGCTGACGGGAAGGCATTTTCCATATGAAATGAGTTGGCGCTCAGAGCTGGTTATAGCATCCGCGTCGGCACTGCCCAAGCTCCTTAAGATCACCTTTCATCTTCCACTAGGACCTCAAAATCGAGGGCTGGGCAAACACTGATCCAAGGGCACAAGTTCAAGTACTTAGCAGGTGACCAGCGCTTTTCATTAACCAGACACCTACTTTACGAAAATTGGTAGCAGATACGGCTCTTGTTCAATCTGCATATACAGAACAGGTTTCAGCTGCTCTGCTCCACGTGCCATTGTACAAGTAGTTGAACATTTTCTGGTCCCCGCGCTTTAAAAGGCACAAGCAAGATCTGTCTAGTATTTCTGAGGATAGTCTCCTGGGGCTTTTATGAGCGTTCCGTGCAACTTCGTTCCTGGAAGTCCACACTTGAAGGCAGTTAGCGACAGCTCACTGGCACACAAGCAGACGCGCTAAAGGTATTACGAGCCGAAACTACTGGTGCTGCTGATGTCATCAGATGCTGGCATTCCAAAGAACCTCTCGCAAAAACCACGCAATTTCTTGTTGGTAGTGCTCTGCGGTAAAACTTTGTAATCGAGATTCTTCATGCCAATCCGGTACAGCATTCAACCAGCAACAAGCAGCATTGGGTCTGCGCAGCTCAAATCTGCTCCACTCCGTCCACTCTGTCTTTGACAGCCACCCTCCTTTTCCTGGGGCACACCTCTCACAATGGCAATTCCTCAAGCACTGGTAAGTCCATGATTGCAAAGGCGCCATCAATTTCATCCATTTTTCAAGATCGCAGGTCTTCCATTGTTCAGCTTCTCCTCCTTGCTTGCACAGCCTTGCTCTCATGACTCGTACATCCACTTTCAATCTTCTACTCTGTTACTTGTTGTTGTCCGCGCAATTGTTGTACGGGGCAAGTCTCTGCTGTTTGCAAGTAACTCATCAACAAAGCACGGCACTGTTGCTGATGCCTAGCAAAACCAGCATCCACAACCACTGCCACATGTCGCATGCAGACGTTCGACTCTGTGTACGGGCACTCATGGGAGCTTCCGGGAGGAGTGGTCTCTCTTACCACTGAGAGCCGAGATGCAGTCTGCTATGCGGCCGGACATACCGCAGTCATCTACGAAAAGGCGACTGGGCAACAAGTGAGGGATCAACCACGCTTGATGTAATGATTGGAAATGTCATGTCACCACTTATTAGAGTCTTTCAATGGAGATGTTGTAGGCATCTCTGATTCAAGACTGGCAGGGAATATCTGAGAAGCGCCACTTCGCTTTCAGGTGTTGCAAGAAGTGCCTTGTTCCAGTAGCATGCTCACAAACGAAATAGCACCGACACAGTGATAGGCTTTCTTTGTCTATACCTTAAACTGTGCGTTCAAGAGTGTGGTACACCGACAGAGCCGGAACCCTTACTTATGAGCCTCTGTTTACCTCCTTTGCTTGTCATAGCCGCACTCGTTTACATTCTTTGATGAAGCTTCAAGAATGCTCGTACCAGATATTCTGGATCGGGAAACTTCTCAACTGCCGCACCGACAACGGAATCCATCTGAACTATAATAAGTCAGGGGCTGAGATTCCTGTATGAAGATTTCGAATCATATTTGAAGCGTACTCCTAACCAAAGACTTAAAAACCTGCAAGTAAAATTAAGACTTAAGGTCAACGATGAAAATGAAAGAACGAACGAGATTGTTTGTGATTCACAAAAAATGCTTATTATTCCCTTGGCGGTGCCGTAACTCCCGGCACCTTTTTCCACAGATCCCGCTCCAAGGCCACCGTCACGCGCTCCGCAGCCTGGCCGTCAGCCCCGACAAGCTGACGCTTGCCACTGCTGACGTCGGCGACACGTCACTGCTTGTGCTCTGGGATGCGCTCACCGGCAAGCCTCTCTGGACAGCGTCGCAGGAGCGAACCGGGGGCATCGTGGCTATGGACTTTTCTGCGGACGCCCGATTTCTGGCTACCCTCTCAAACACCGGAGAGAGAGGAAAGTGAAGTTTGCGTTTTATTAATGGTACGCTTGGAGGAGTACTGACGCACGGAGCTGCTCGTATTCAACCAGCACTGGGAATGGGAATGCTTTGAGAGAGAACTCCACTCCCCCATTTCAAGGAACTTGCGATACTGGGAGCGTCTCTTGATGTTGAGATTCGCTACGGCCGAGATGACGGTCCAGTGAATTTCAGATGCAAAAGCGCAATCAATTGATCCCCTTTCTGCATCACATACAACGATCAATTTGGAGTTGGGGCGACGCAGGATTCTCGAGCAGAATGTTCTGCCGACTGTAGGACAGTGCCAGGTGCTCATCCCTCCGTCCTGAAGAATCTCCTGTGTCCCTAGGCCCTTCGCTACCAAGTCTCTCACACTGTCCCCTGCCACGTGTCCTCCAAGCAGCCGCTGACGTCAGCCAGGAGGTCAGCATCTGGGACCTGCAGTCCCCCGAGGAGGGCCCCATTCTCATCACCCCCGTGGCCGACGGGTCGCTGCTGACGAGCCTCCGCTTCAACCCCGAGAGTCACCGGGAGCTCGTCAGCACGGGGGCTGACCGGGTCCTGTTTTGGCAGCGCGTGGTGAGCCGTCCGAAAGACTGACCTTCGGCACTACTAGATCTTGACATCTCGGAGCTCCGACCTGTTTTGTGTGAGGTTTTGGAGACGCTCCGCTTTAGTTCGGTGTGCCAGTCCGCATGACTCCACACAGGGAGGTTTTTAAGGCCTGATTATCCACAGCAACGGCAGTAGTATGGTTCTGAGACTTCGACTTCACACGAACGCTTGCGGGCGCCAAGAGTCATCACAAAGTGGTCACTCTCGGCGCCTGACGAAGTCCCTCTTCCAGGGCGTCTGTACTTGTCTTTTCGCCGAAGGTTTGAGCTCTAAGCTGGTGAACGCCGCAATTGATGTTAAGTCTCAACATTTTATAACTTCCTTTCTGATTCAAAGCACTCCAACCCCAATCATGGCACTCGACCTATATGCAGCCTGCTCAGTGTTACAATCACTATTTATGTCTCGTAGCTCGTAGGTCGTAGCTCTAGCCCAGATTTCGAGATACTTGCTCATTGTTGAAACTCCTGTAGGTCGCAAGGAGTTACCCAGAATGAAGTTCCTGAATCCTCTCCAACGATTGAGTTGGTTCTTGCAAAGAGGTTAAGCCACACATTCGGCAGCTGAACGCTCGCGGTCGGGTTAAGTAACGAAGTTATTCAACCCCCAGGTGCACGAGGACACCTCGGAGAGCCTGCAACCCGTCCGGCCTCTAGGCAGCATCGGGGCCCTGAAACCGAGTTCGGTTAGCTTAACCGTGTCCGTCTTCGTACCTGGCACAACAACCGTGGTGACCGGCACCTCCGACGGCGGCCTGCTCGTATGGGAAGAAGAGCGGTGAGTTTTCGCCAGCGACTTTCTTCTTTTCAAGCTTGGATTCAACTTCGTCAGATGAAAATGGCATACTGGTTATCCTCTGTACCACAATGTTAGAGAATAGCTCGATTGTTGAATGGGTAAGAAATGGAAGTAGTACGAAATGCTGCAACTCAGTTGACTGCCGCTCTTCTTCGGCATGGGGATGACTCGTTCAAACGGTCCCGCTTGGGCATGGAGACTTTTCAGACGTTGCTGGTATACATTCTCGATCGCTAGCTCAGCTGTGAACCAAGCGTCCTGCGTAAAAACTCAACCAAACGGTCACGCTTTGAATCTTAGACTCCTCTTGACGTCGCTGAGAAACATTCCCGATCGACAGCTCAACCTGACAACCACCCGTCCAGCATAACACGAAAGAGAGAGCTGGAAAAGACACAGCCCACAAAGGAGAAAACCAATCAAATGATTTCCGCTTCTCCCCTTCAGGACCGAAGCCGCCCGCGACTCGCCCCTCATCGAGCGCCGCGCCGTAAAGAACCTGCGTATTCACACCGCGGCCATCACCGCGCTCGCGGCCGCGGGCGCGCACGTCGTGAGCGGGGGCGCCGACGGCTACGTGCGCTTCTTCGACGCGCGGCTGCGGCTCGTCGCGTGGTTCGAGGACATGGACGCGGGTGGGTGGGAATGCGCTCTCACGCTGACGTCATCTTGCTCTACTACGTCAGCAGGTTCTGTTGTTGAGAGCCGGGAAGTCCGGTTTGGAGCTTTGAGTCGGCCTTGTGGTGATCTTGGCAGTAAGAGCCTGTCGTTTGCTTGAATCAACTTTTCATGTCACTCCACAGAATGAAAAAGACGTCAATATTTTTGAGCCATTGCCTTCTATCAGTCTGTCAGGTGACTCAACGAAACGGAAAAACGCCTCAGGTGAGGTCGGACATGCTTTGGCAAGAAAAAACCGTTTTGGAAGCTCTGGTTCAGATCCATGCACTCCTTAATGACCTCTCAAGCATGATTCCTGACTCTCTGCAGGCGGGATCACATCGCTCTCCTTCGCGACCGCCGGTTCCGTTCCGCTGAGCGACGCTGCCTTTTACGCTCCGGACTTTGTAGTCGGCACGACGAACGCCAAGATCGTCTCCATGGAAACAGCGTCCTTCGACGACGATCCCAAGTCCTCGCGACGAGCGGTGAGCTTTGAGGTCTTCCGTCGAAAGCATTCAGTCTGCTAAAAGTGTGTCACACGGCTTTCGTTTCCAGGCATCTGTTATTTGCGTTCTGCATTTCCCATGTCTGCTTCTGTTTATTAAGTTGATTAAGGACAGGAAGATTGACCCAATTGACAAGATGGATCCCTTTTCTGGATTCATCTGGAAGGTGGGTTTGCAGACTGTGTCACGAGGTAACATCAGACCAGTTCTAAACGACCCTTGCCCGAGGGGCCCTTAATGACCTATGTCTGCGTCTTCCCATCATTCTCCCCGTTCCTCTTCCCTCGCTCACTACTCCCTGTTCGTATCCCGCCCTAGGGATCCGACTCGGGCCGTCCAGATCTAGTCGGAGGCGCCAAGAGACATGCATGCCGGTATTAACTATGTGACCCGGTTTCCTGACGCGTCCCTTGACCCCAACCCTCCAGGGCGAGGTGATTCTGGCCGGAAACAGCCAGGCGGTCGCAGCGAATAACGCCCAACCTAATCAAAAGCTACCTTACTACGTTTTCCATCAAACATCAGCTAACCTCTCTGTCCCTTAAATTTAATGTCCCCTTCAGGGCGAGGTGATCTTGGCCGGCAACAGCTAGGCGGTAGCGCCCAGAACCGCGCACCGGTCTGAAAGCCTACCCTAACCTTTGTTTCTGCACACAGATCTGCTAAAACTCGTGTCTTAACCCGTTCCTTAACCCTAATTCCTCGTCCAGGGCCAGATGATATTGGCCGGCAACAGCCAGGCGGTGGCGGCCATAAGCGCGCACCCCGGCCAGCCGCACGTGACGCTCATAGGCGATGCGGGCCTGCAACAGGTGTACGATTACGCCCCGCAAACGCTGCTACTCGAGAAGAAGCACGCCGGACAGCAGGTGCGCCGGACGGTCCGACACGTGTCCAAATCCAGCCACAGGTTATCTTTACAGTTTTGTCAGGAAGGGCGAATTTTAAACTTTCTCCTTTTACTGAAAGCTTCAAAATGGATCGCACCTTGACGATGCAATCACTGGTCTCCGGATAATGCTCCACGCCGGAATGCAGGTGCGCCGGACAGTTCGAAATTGGTGCACATTCATGAGCTACATTTTGTGTGCAACGGTCTTCAAAAGTTGACTTGACCAGCATTGTTGATATGTTTCACCGTTCGAAAGGAGGTGAAAGTATCGCGCTTCAGACGCTCATATCTTTCGGACGTTGCTTCGAAGCGAGCTCCAGGATTTCTGAAGTTGGCTGACGCTGGAAAGTCCGGAAGAAAGAATATAGGTGAATTCGTCCCACAGCTACCCGGATAGAAAGACAATCTCAAAACCGCGAGCTACCGTACGAAGCCCACGTTCCGCCTTGTGGAAACAAGTTTCTGAGTGATGTTAATCAGGACTCAAGACGGAGAAGTATGAGATATCACTGAAACTGATATGAGGGTCACAATGTTCGTTGAGGATCGCGAGAAAGTAACTCAGCGTCGTTCTCTCCAGGGTTGCGCGATCTGCTACTCTCCAAACGGGACTCTTATTGCGGTGGGCTTCGGAAACGGCGCGATCCAAGTAAGCCTCACGGTTGATCTGTTCTTGTGAGTTTTGACTTGCAGAGCGAGGGTTGATCTTTGGATCATACGATGTCTCTTGCGTCGTCTCATCCATCGGCCTCACGCTATCGAGATAGATTCTGACACGACGTAGGATGTAGGGACGTCTTTTCATGGGTCAGAATAGCTTCTTCCGTTCGTTTCCCGGCTGCTTTGTTGAGACGGACACTCCCGTCATTTGAGTGCAGCATGCAAGTTTCTCACCTTGACCTGCTGAATTGTTTCCTCAAACCATATCACGGTGAGATGCGGTTTGAAATCAATTTCGAAACTCGGTTGTCCTGGAAAACTTAAAGCACGATCCATCTGAAAGGTTGGAGTCTTACTCAGATATCATTGGATTTGGTTGCTCTACAGATTCAAAACAGCGCGACCCTCGACGAGCTGTTCACGTTCCGCACCACCCTTTCCGCCTTGACCCACCTCACCTTCGCCCCGACCGGAACGGCACTGGCCGCAGCGGATACGTCATTCGCCGTCAGCCTCATCACCTTTGGACACGGCAAGGTGGGAAGCTCCTGCGGTCTTCATCAGCTTCTAGATATATTCCTCAGAAAGTTCTGCAAAGTTCCAACCGGAGAACAGGTGATGGAAGACGTTCTATCCGCCAGGAGTGGGTGAAAAGCAGAGCATACCACGACTGTTGAGGTCCCCTGGTACCGAGCTACTGACTCATCGGACCCACATCGTTTTCCGGGGTTTCTTAGGAGAGCCGCGAGAATGGGGTTCTCTCTGAACGACGAGGTTTCAAAGACGATGCTTCAAACAAACTGATTCGCGTTTGCTGCGTGTCCGAGGATTTGTCGCTCCTCCAATCATCCTCTTTAAGCGTAAAGTCCAAATCGCGGACGACAGTTGGAGACTGCGTGACGCTGACGGCATGCGCTCATCCTCCCTCCAGGCCGGCGACAAGTGGGAGGCGGTCGGGAAGGTGCGCGCGCACAACGATGTCGTAACCGGCCTGCGCTTCGGCGCGCGCGCGGGCGCGCAGCCTTGCCTGACGTCATGCGCGGAGGACGGTAACATCGTGACGTACGATTTGGAGGGTGCGGCTCCAGGGGAGGGGCTCCACATCAAGAGCGTTACAGCGATCACTTCCCCGGGGCTTCCTACCGGGCTGGCATCTCTCGAGGGCAGTCAAGAAACGGTGAGTTCCAGAGACGTACTGGGGTTACTTTGGGCTCGCCACAGGAAATTATTTCTTTGGGACTGCCAATCTGGAGAAAGGCTCGGCGAAAGTTTGCTTCGAATATTTTAGCTGAATGGCGGCTGATTGTTTCATTTAGAGGATGTTGTGTTCTGGTAATGCAGTGCGGATCACCGTTACTCGTTCATGTCAGAGAGCAGTTTCCTTGTCGGTGAGATGAGAATTGCCTGGGCCTTGGCGAAACGGCTCCCGTCTGTTGGAAAGGTCAGCCATCAAAACTTGCAGTTTAGTCACGAAGAGTCGTCCGTGTTCTGGGTGTGAAAACCTGCGAAGATTTTTGCATTCAGCCGCCTGCGAAAGCTTCGGCACTCAAAGTTTCTGACAGACAGACTTAACTGTAACATTTAGGTGCGCCGTCAGCATCTTTTCCCCGACTTCATCTATCTTGGTTCTCCGTAGGCGGAGTTCCTCATCAGCGACGATGCTTGCAAGCTCAAGGCCACCGACGTCAGCGACACCGCCACGTGTCGGATGACGTGGGCAGCGCCCGCGTTTGGCGCGCCGATCCACAAGCTGGTGCCCTTCACCAGCTGTCAAAACGACCAGGTAAGATCTGAAAGGGCCTCAAAGAGGAAATCTGCTCTATTAGGAAGGCGAATCGTTGGACGAGAATACGAAGAGGACCTTTGCTCTATCTAGAAGGTGATTTGTTGGAGGAAGGAGAGGAGAGAAAGCGAAAAGAGATGCTTGTTGCGATTGTAGTGGAAATAGGAAAATAGTTTCAGGCCTATTCAAGGGGTGTTTCTTGGCGAAGAGAAAGCGGATGGGGTATTGTCCAGGAGGTAAGCGCCGCACACCTCATCGAGTTTGCTGGCAAAAAGAGGCTCCCAAACAAGCAGTGTGAACGTTTGTGACTCGTGCCTAGCGCTTACTTTCTATGGGCTTTAAGGAAACGCCAAACTTCCAAACCCACGACCCAAAAGAACACGAAGCCGGTTTCAGAAGTCTTACAACCTGTTTCCTCTCGCAGCAATACCTAGCTTATGCCACGAAAGAGCGCGTCGCGGGGTTGATCAAGCTGCCTCTGACCGGGGATCCAAACCGGACGATGGGTCTCCTGGCGCAGCCCGGAAACGTTTCGTGCCTAGCGGTCGGGTTTGATGGGGAGACGCTGGTAACCGCGAGCGGCAACGACGGGTGAGGACGAGCTGATGACGTCAAGCTGACGGCATTCAATGAAAGAAGCTCACGTAGTTGAGCTTGTCCTTCACCAGACTTTTCAAAGGTGTTCATATGCTTTCAATCCTGCACGAGATTTCTAGGACCTCGAGGAGCAACGGCGTTGTCTCGTTTTACCTTCGAGGCAGCCTTGCAAAGTTGTCATCGTGCTGCTTTGACCAATTTTCTCCGCATTTTTCGCTCTTGCAGAAATGTTTGATGCACTCTTGTTGTGGCAGACCTGACTTGTGAAGGTCTACTCTTCTGGTTTTGTAATCTCCAGGGCCTCAGAACTCATCAAGGAGCACAACAAGAATGTTAAGCTTCCCGATTGTAAATCGACTGAAAAATCAGTTCCCTTGGAATCAAAGTGCCAAAAGTCGAAGCGTAGCTCGAAGCTCGAAGCTCGAAGCTCAAAGTTTCAAACTAAGAGCCAGGGGTGAACATGTTCTATCATCGCGTGCAGCATTCTGACATTCTGGAGGGTCGACGCCTCCGCTCTCGACGCGCAAGCCGAAACCTCCGCGGGCCTGGACGCGGCCGCGCGGCTCGAGGGCGGCCGCGAGGGCGCGGCCCACCGCGAAGCGCGGGACTTCTTCACGTGCTGTCAGATTAGGAGCCAGGTGCGCGCGCGCGTTCCACTCCCTTCTTCTTCTCGCGATACTTCTTCTGGCGAAAGCCGTGCACTTGACCGCGAGCTTGGAAACTGCGGAACTGTCAGTACACCGTGCATCCTAGGGACAGCGTCTCGTCTTTCTGGCTCTTAATGAATGCGCCTTCAGCGAGTCGAAGCACCGCCAAAGCACCAGCGCCTAGGTGCAGCAGTCCGGCTCCCTAGCTCTTACATCGCGACTTCCACGAGTCAAAGTGTGAGATCCCTGAGCATATTAATCTGGTTTTTTGACTTTTACTTTACGAGTCTGACGAATTGGCAGACGGTTACTGGTGACGTTTTGGAAGCAGCCCGCAGGCTATTGTACAGCCGGCGAAACACATGTGAGCCGATAGCCGATTGTAAAGTTTCTTTGATCGCGTGTCGAGCATCAACCGGCCCAAGTTCCTTGACCGGCCTAAACAATCTTGACGCGGCCAAGCCTACGATTAGTCGAAATGACAGTCTGCTTCTCTACCTGCCAGAAAATAACACGACCCTTGCCACGTGTCACATTGTCAAAATAGAAAGCCGACGTCCCAAGAGGTAGCTGCTCGATCCCCACCCTAATGATCGGGACCGACCGTCTCGTGGTCGTCAGGAGGCGGGGTTCCGGTGCTCCGCCGATGCTGTTCCGGCGGATCAAGTTCAAGAGCTGAGCAACGCCCTAGAGCTCGACCGACTCCGTCCAATCAGCAACTCTGCCACCTCTCATCTCATCAATCTCTCGCCCTTAATGATTCTTGCCCTCAAAGATGGATTCACAAAATTCTGGCTTTCAGGAGGCTGGTTTCCGGTGTGCCGCCGACGCTGTTCCGGCGGATCGCGTGCAAGAGCTGAGCAACACCCTAGAGTTCTACCCCTCCCGAGCGGAGGCCCGGGAGATGGCGGCGGAGGCCCGGGGGACAGGCGACGGTAACGCTCCCGCGGAGATCACTCTGGAGAGTTACCTCGAGGTCCTGGAGCAGCACCGCCCGGCGGAGGGGTTGGAGGAGTCGCAGCTGGAGCGAGCGTTCCAGGTACGGAGAAGTTTACAAGCACTGCCATGTTCATTTTGTCTATCCTCGTACTGATTCGATCTTTCGCAGTGACGATGAAAAAGATGAGCGGAGCATTCCTTCTGGTGGTTCTCGCTCGCTCGGAAGAAAGCGTGAGCACTTTCAAATTATGGAGCACGTTTAAGATCTGCAGCGGCCTTTGACATACCAAGTGGACGAAGAAGACCGTCAAAACCTTCTGCTCAGAGCTCGCTGGAAGGAAGGATGACTTGGAAACATGACAGCTCGACCGAAGCTGTTGCGAACATTAGACTTGACACCTACAAAGAGGTTACCATGAGCACAAACTCGATGACAGTGACGGAGCAACAGCGAGACCTACAAGATGCTTTGTATCTTAGCCTTCTCGCCCTTGCAAGAAACGCTTCCCCGAATCGGCTCTCAAGCAGACGAGGAGCCCGGAACAGGGATTGAACAGAAACCATTCATCAGTTTGGTTCCCTTCTTGCAGGATCTCGGCGCGGATCCGGCAACCGGAGCGCTGTCCCGAGAGAAGCTTCTTCAGATGCTACTGGAGGAAGGAGAACCGCTAACCAGGTACGGATCAGGACACGGCCCGACTCCCCACCCGAGTTTAGTCCCGTTCCGCCTTTGCTCAGTGCACAATTTCTTTCCTGCTTCAAGGCGGGCAGGGCCGCTCGCCGTTTCGTATTGGGTTGTGTCTTCGACCGGGTTGCGCTTCTCTTCTTATTTCTTGCCGTGCTTGTTGTCCAAGCGGGATTCGCGGGCGGAAGAGCTTACTAACGAGGCAAACACGTCAGGACATCTTGAAAGAGTCCAACTTCATTTCCATACGATTGGCTATAAGTACGCATCAACTTAGTTCTCGCATCCTTTTGGTTTCCTATTCCTAGCCATCCGCCGGTTGTTTCAAGTGCCGATCCGGCCAGCTTCTTCCACTTTTTCATGGGCGGATTCCGAGCGTCACCTGCCTGAGGCCCCTGAGCCTCAGAACGGAGATATCAATAGCAGGAGAAACCTGAAACTTAAGAACACTCTGAAGCTTTCCCGTTTGGAGCTTTCCTGTTTCTAATGGTTTTCGGTTTGTCTCCGCAGGGAGGAGCTGGACGCGTGCCTGTCTACAATGGCCGGACAGCCCACGTCAGCAACGGCGTGGCCCGAGGAACTAGGCGTGCCGGAATTTGCGGCACTTGCGCTGGGTTTTGAGAACCCTCAACCCGAGATCGAAGCAGTATAAATCGATCAACCAGGTTTAACAAGGTCACAGAAAGCTGCATCTGCACTGGGATAGCCAAGACAAAACTCCTCGACCCTGCCCCACCTTCTCATGGCTGTGACTGTCAGACTGTCAGCTTTTGACATTTAATTTCTTCCGTCTCCGCATCCGTGGACCGTCTAACCTGACGTCTCGAAACAGCCGAAACAAAAGGAGTAACATTATCAAGGTCTTGTGACGTTTGGGCCTCGTTTTTCGAATTGGGCCGTTGTTTTTAAGGCTCCGAAGAAGCTTTCGCAGTTCGACTTGTGTATCCGCTTGAAGGCAACAGTCACATTGCCGAAGTTACTTGGGAATATCCGCCGTGTGATGTGCCGACCGGATGTAAGGCAGCGAACGGGTTCCTTTTCAGGTATGATGCTGGCAGAACCCTTTCCGAAGTTCCCCTTCGAAGCCACATACATGGCCGCGCTAAGCTTACCAAACATTGGCCGGAATACTGCAACTGCAATCTGGGCAATCGTTTATGCGGCGCTCAGGCCAAATTTCGCTTAAATCAAAGTTGTTCTAGTAGACCGCTGGTTGGACAGATGTGATATATTACAAGTGAAAGACCTACCTCAGTGGTATGGTGGTATCAACTGGTGTTTCATCCAAAGATTCTATCACCACGATTCATGCAATTTATCATTATCTTTGACTCGTGGATCGGTTACAGGCACTCGCATGGTCGGAAGAATCGTGCTAAGTCCGAGTCAAACAATCACACGTCAGTATCCCATACAAGGCGAATCGACTACCTACCTAGAGAGGCCCAATAAGCCCGCGCGCGAACTAATAGCTGGATCAGCTTGGACTTAGCTGGAAGTTGCACCATGCATGTATAGACGTGTGGAGGAGATGTGGAGTGCTGTCATCCCACGCTTTGTCCATTGGTATAATAATTTTGTACTCAAACGTCTGAGCTCCAGTAATTCCGCTAACAACCTCCGCCTTTCTCGTCGAAAATTTCGCGAAATCCGTACGCCGCCTCTTTCCTACTGGTTCATGCATAAAGTTCGAACAGGAAGTCGGGAAGCTGTCGACATTCGACTGCAAGGCGTGAGTCAGTTTTCCAAAACGTCAACTGTGTACGGTCACCGGTGTACCGTGTCCCTGCTACCCAGCGGCCTGAATCCTTAATCCGGTCGGCGGGTGGTATCTTGTCGAATGGTATGCCGTACACCGTATCTTGATTCTTGATCCGATTTCAATGGCTACGAAGATACCGTCCATTATTAGATGTACGCAGTACGGTATTAAGCTGTACCCTTACTAAAAAGTACCCTTAATAAGTTGGGTACCGGTAATAACCTCGTAATTGTCGTACGGAATCATATCCAAGATTAGGTTTTGCCATATGTCGGAACTCGACGAAAAAGATTCTGGATCTTTGGCGTCTCACGCGCAAAGAAGGATGGCCGCTCCGGACCATGGCTGGATGTTTTGGTCAGGACTCAAAATGGTACTGGTACCTACCACCGGGCGCAGTAACGGCGACTCAGCTCTTGCTTTGCAGGGCGCCTGCGCGCCGCTGGCGCCCCCCGGGCATATCTAGCAGAATTCATAATTAAGCTCGATTATTGGCCGGACTCCTGTATTACGGTATATTAGCACGCGAGTCACGAACCCGTCACGCAAGTGTGCCAACGATACAAGCAGATTGAGATCCTTTGCACTTCAGGTCATGCAAGGAGAGAAACGCAGCCGAATCTGCCAGCCATAAATGGGTGTCTCACGTACGGGGATACTTGACGTAGTCCTATCATTGTAAGACTGTACGTGGCTAGGAAGCCAGTAGTACGGTATGTCAGTACTGAGTAGACGGTAGATCTAGATATGTTTACCGGTATACCAACTTTCAAGGTCGCCTGGAGACATTGCCTTTATATGTGTCTTTCGCGATTTTAGTGCAGGATTCGGCCACATTCTCAAGAGCAGGCGGACTTCTGCTTCGTGGTCGAAACGCATGCCCGGAGGCTGCAGTCCGGAGCACTAAACTTAGTCTCAGGCTCAGCCAATCACAGTCATGACTCATGAGCCCCAGATGCAGGCAAGTCGTACACATGTACGGTAAGTCCGAGGATACTGTTCCAGTAAAAAGCACTTGAAGCCTGAAGGTAGAACTTGACGATATCGATCGAAGGTATGACAGTTGACTCATATGGCTCGATTATATGCCAACTTATACAGCAGGATCGGCT